TACAACCTTGTAGCAACTGTTCAGTGTGCTAAAAATAAAATGTGGGGTCTGCAAAACTCAAACCACCAAATGTTATTCCTTTGCTACAAACATGGTTAACACATACTGCCAGCCCTCACAGAGAGTCTTTTCACAAAGTATCAACTCCCATTTATCTTATTGGTGTGTTTAGTCCCACCTGGGTTATGTGAAGCCAGAATTTACAGTGGACTGTAAAACTTTTACTGATTTATTTCCTAGTAGTTTTCAACCTGTAGTTCTCAGTGGAAGCATTCTCAGAAAACTTGCCCAAAATATATGAGTCAAAATTAAATAAATACAAAGTGATACCATGTTGCTTGTGACTGCCCACTGACACTGATACCTTCAGTTCCTGAGGTCATAGTATGCCTAACATAAAAGGTAAGATAAAGGAAAACTGTGAAGCTCAGAGAAAATTTCAGGCAAAAAGATTTATAAATCTGGTAATTGTTCCTTAATAATGTGAAAACTGCTACTTTAGCAATTAGCACAATTATCCCTTCACAATCTCGTAAAACTCAACCATTTATAGACCCTGAATGAGAGACTTCCTTTTCAACAGTTCTTACCACCAAATCAAAAGACATTAAGAATTATACCATTCAGATAAAATCCTTCCAGCCTAAGGGCTAGAAGTTTACTTCCCACTTAATTGAAAGGTAAAAATTTCACATAATCCAGTGGCTCCAGAGGCTTCAACTATGAGGAAAACTAATTCAGAAAGAAATTTAAATCACAAGTGACAACACCAACACATTAAGCAAAGCTTTTAGATTGAAAGGTACAGGAGACTTTGAGACCTCTTTTTAAGGCATAAAATGATAAACATTGAAAGGTATCAAGCCCACAAAGAACTCAGAGAAAATTCCTCTGTTTCATGAAAAAAACAACTTCTACAAAGAGCACAAGAAGAATAAAATTCGTGAATAATTTATAGCCTTTATATTTTTAATAATAATAATAATAATAATAATAATAATAATAATAATAATAATAATAATAATATTTTTTAAAGGCCCAACAATGGATCATAGTCCCTACTTTGGTAAAACTCTGAGTTATATTGTTATTTTGTTGTGGTTTTGGTTCAGGCATTTCATTCTACAACTGATTCTCAAAATAAAGATTGACTAGTGCAAACAACTACATCAAAGTCTGATGTGTCATGTAGCAATGAATATTTCTGTTGGAAATTTACTTGTTTTCTTTTTAAAGCAGTGGCATATCTAGGTCTTCCTGAGATTAGGAACATTAACTATTCTGGGTGTGATTCCTTTTTGACTTCATGGAATTTCTGTGGTACCTGGGGAATGGAAGAATCTTAACAGCAGTTTCAGTCATAATGAACCTGAGGACTGTAAATAAAAAATATATTAAAAATTAGGCCTGACAAACTTCAGATGGTAGCAAGTGTTGGTGGGGAGATGGAGACAATTCTTGTATTATCTCAAGAAATTCTCACAGTTTCCTGGTTAATATTTTCTGTTATTAAGCACCTCTAACAAAGACAGACTTTCACCTACTTTAGATTTATAATGATTCATGCAAATTTACCTCCTTTTGAGGCAGGGGGTCAAGTGTTTAAGTTCATTCTCTAGTAAGTAATATCTGCATAAACTTTTGATGTATAATAATGAGGCATGTTTTGCAGAGACATTAAAAATCAAGGCCCACAAAAATGAACTATTTGTGGATTCAATTCACCAGTGGCATCTAAAATTCGAAACAGAAGGACTGAAAAGATCATAAATGCATTTTCAAATTTTGTATCTACCCTGCCATAGTATGCAGTCTTATTTTTTATTGTGTGGTTCAGTATTAAAAGAAAAGGATTCAATAGTTCTCACTGTATACAGACAATGAAGGCATGCACCATGAGAGCTGTGGCTGTGGCAAAGGATCTCAACATAAATTTGCACACATCTATTTTTCCAAATATAAGGCTTTCCTGGCAGGCAGTCAATCATGCAGGAATTGCCAACGCTCTGTAGATAGGGCAATTATAATTCTCTGTGCACTGCTGCTAGACCACCTGCACGTTCACATGTGATGGAAGTCAGATTTGAACCCAGCTCTCAGGAGATGAATACCAACCCACTGCTATTTACTATCAGCCTGTTTTTCATTATCTTTCATTTTAATTAAGAAACACTATTTATAACTACACCTGACAAACAACTAAGCATGGTGGAAGCTAGCAGATGTACCTTGTGCTATAAAACTTGGAGCTGAGATATTACATTAATTTTGGGGGTGGGGGACTACGCAAAGCCCATATTTTCATGTATCATGCTTTGCTTTCAGCAATATTGTATTGCAGTTGGAAGTGCATAATGTTTTGTGATTATATGAATAGAGAATGTCAAATTCTGCTTCAGATAATGTTTCCAATATTTTTATTGGAAGTATGCCTGTAGTTTTTTCATTAATTAATTTTATTAGATTCATAAAAATAACGTTTTGCTTGAAAAAATATTGGAAAATTAAAATTTAATGACGTCAAATGAGTCATCATTTCTCTATCAAAATTCTCATCAGAAAATAAAAGGAAAAACAGTTCTACCACTTATTTAAAAGAGCAGTTTAGACCACTAGCTGCAGTATTACTCCATCTAAAAAAAATACAGAAAATTATGAAAGAATATAACAGTTACTCTAGCATGTTTCACTTAATGGAAGCTTCTAGGAAATATTTTAAATTCATCTGCTTCTGACTGGATGATAAACAAATAACCACATGCTGAAGCAATAAAAATAAATTACTCTGGCAACTTCCCTCTGAAGTGTCACCATGCAGGATGGCACATATTTCAAAACATTAAACTTCATCTCCATCTAGGCTCAGGATTGAGTGAATTTTACATGGAAACAAAGCATTTCATATTGGATAAACTAAATAGTGAAGAAATATTTTTATTTCCAGAGGTACACATTTATTTGTTTACTTTACTGGAGCACTGGTGAAAAGCAAACTTAGGCTTTTTAGTTTAAGACAAAAAGGAGACGTCTCTATGGCATCTTCTTTTTGTGATGGTGTGTATAAATTTCAAAATAGTTGAGAATTTAAAACTAATTGCCAATATGAACCATGCTGCAAACACGTATCCCATGCACATTTTTGAAAACATTAGTCATAATTGGATAATTTTCACACTCACAGCAGGGTAAGGGAAAATGCAAATAATTTAAAACAAAATATCATTTGAGTGCAAAACTGTCTCTCAAGGCTTTCAGAATAATAGGCAATGGCATGAAGATATGCCTTAAATCAATAGCAGGAAACCAGGCAAGAGAAATATCTAGACAGGAGCTCTACAGGGCAGCATGGAAACAAAGTGGGTACTAAAACAAATATTATTTTTCACATTTTCACAGCAATTGTGCTCCTCATTCAGAATCCCTAGGAAGTGACTGAGTTTTGTGTTATACTTTCAGCACTGGCATGTAAGAGTTTTGATTCCCCTGACCTCTGAATACAAAGTCACACACTGAGGTCCCTGCCAAGCAAGCTTGTAGTCTGGATCCTTCTGGGATCTCCCGCGGCAGCATCCAAGGCAGGCAGGCAACTTCCCTGACAAGGAGCAGGGCACAGGTGAGGGCTGTGGGCAAAGCGAGCGAGCACAGGCTCTGCAGTCACAAAAACGACCAGCTCTGCACGTATTTACAGCGAGGTCAATAACTGGGCTCAGGGCTGCTTTTGGACACAGGGAGGTCTGGCACGTACAGTAAGCACAGCTTTTTTTCCAAGTAACCAATTCCTTTGGGAATGACACAAATCAGCAGGCCGGTTAGGGTAACACAGATGAAGAGCTCATTTTGTGTTGGGAAGGGGAAAAAAACAAAGCAAGAAATGAAAGAGGACGTTATGTTTTCCATGCAAAATGAAAAGTTTGCTATGTGATTTCATTAACAAAAGACCACGACAATATGTACTTGGGTAAAGAGAACAACTTCTGACCTTGAAATTGCGTGCTAAATAAATTACCTCAGAGCGAAAGTGATGAGTTCTCATGACAGCATCTGGAAGGGAAGCAGAAAGACACACAGGCTCCATCAGCTGCACCTCGCATTTCGCCCCGGCTAAAGGATTACCCCGCCACTCGCCCTTCGGCGCACACTCCGGGATGGCTCTGGCCCTTCGGGCACAGCCGGCAGCTCCGCCCGGCATTTATATTTAATTCATCGGGAAGAAGTTCGGCATAAAGTTCTGCTGCTCTTTGACAGACCGGGGAGGGCTGGGGGGTTTCCCAGCCTCTCACCCTCCAGCCGAGGTTTCGCTGAGGGATGGGTGGAGACAAGGCTGCCGCAGTCCTGTGCTCGGCTTGAATTTTCTTTAAAGCCTTTGCCCGGCTAAACCGTGCCACGGCGGCCCTCCGCCGGCAGAAAGCTGGGGATGGGCCGGGGACAGCCCCCGCCGCCCTCAGGGACCGGCAGCATCTCTTACCTCGGCTCCTTGAGCGACCTGAAAAGACGGATTTGATGGGATGCCTCCCTTTCTGGAGCCGGCGGTGCCAGCAGCAGAAGAATAAAATCGTGGCAATGGTCCCCAGCAGCAGCAGGAGCAAGAAGAGGGCGCACTGGATGCTGTAGGGTCTCAGCAGGACCAGGAAAGCCGCGGCAATCATGGCTCAAGCGCCCGGCTGCCCCTGTGCGTGCGCGGGTCTGCGGCGAGCGGCGGGGGGCCGGGCAGCGCCGGGCAGCCTCTCCCCCCGGCAGCGGGGCGGGCATCGCCGCCGGCACCGCGCTGCTGGAGCCGGCAGCCGGGCGGGAGGCGGCGGCGCGGGGGGGGAGGAGGAGGAGGAGAAGGAGGAGGAGCGGGATGAGATTCAGGCCGTGACTCAGCAGCCGCCGCCGCGGCGATGGTTGCGGTGGGGCTGCCCCTCCGTGCCCGCACGGCTGCCGGGAGCGGGCAGCGCGGCGGGCAGAGCCGGAGCGCCCGCGGGCAGCGGCGGCGGGGCGGGGCCGGGCCCGCATGGCAGCCGGCGCGGGCACGGCGGGGCGGGGCGGCAGGAGGAGGAGAAGGAGGAAGAAGAAGGAGAAGAAGAAGGTGCCGCCGGCGCCGGGAGGGAGGAAGGAGCACGGAGCGGTGCGTCCCGCCGCCGAGGAGACTCGGCCGGTGACATCACCGCTGGAGCTGCTGAGAGACTCGGAAAATGGCTGCTGCGAGGTACCGGGGACCCCCGTCGGAAAAGAGGGGATGCGACCGGGGGGCGCGGGGTATCGGCAGCGGCGAGCGCCCGCGAAGGGGGTCGGTGGCGTACCCTGGACCCGAAGCATCGGTCGAGGCCGGTTTCGTGGCGGGGGAAGGGATTGGGAAATGATGATGAGATCCATCCTGACAAGGTGACCAGAGCCCTGACCAGGTGCGGTGCTGCCGGCATTTAGTGGGCAGCGGGCGCGGGCGGGACGGGGCAAGTGCGCGCCGCCCGGCCGTGCCCTCCGCGAAAGGCGCCGGGGCTGCTCAGAGCAGCGCCCGCAGGGACCCTCGCCCTGCTGGAGGCTGCAACGCGCTGCAGCCAATGTCAGCCCCGTGCCCTTCCCTCGCCGCCGGGCCGCAGCTGGTGCAGCATCAAAATCCTGCCATGTGCAGGTCGCTAATGCAGGCGCTAACAAGAGCTGACCTATGTCGCTGTTTCTACCTCTGTAGTTGTTACTGTGACAGTCCAGACTTTCAGAGACTGTTTCAGAGGAAACGCAGTTCTAAACTCTTTCACAGACACGCAGAAAAATTAGCTAGGTACCATTTTGCATTTAGTCATGTTACTGGGGGGAAAGGTTCACTCAAGGAAAAACTCATCTGCTTTTCATGTATCTTTGATGTAAGCACATAAAGCTGTAGAACATTTCCAAAACTTCATAGAAATAATTAAAATCTCCGTTTAAATATTGGAGAAACATTGAAATGTTACTACTTTATTTGACTGACATGAAGCTGCAGAAAAGCATATGTGTAAATTTAAGTTAAACTAAAAAATATGCAAACTGGAAAGACAAAGAGGGAAATGTGTCTATGGTAGCTTAAATAATAACAAGGAAAATAATCTTTGGAAATAGTAAAATTAATTTATCACTGGGCTAATAACATTATAACACTTTATTGTACCCTTAAGGTTAATAACATTGTAACACTTTACTGTACCCTTATGGCTAAGGAAATCTGTTATCATCAAAAGATGCTCATGATAGGAGGGGAGGGGGTGTAAGTAAAAAAAGAAGAAAAAATTGGGTTTTAGGTGTATAATAATTTATTCCAGGAATTTTCTATAATTTCATTCTATACACCAACAGAGTGAGCCAAAATAGTCTCTCCTATTACTTTGTAAAATGGAAAGTTGCTACATTGCAGCCATGGTTTCGAAGCTTTCCCTCACTGCCTGGAAACTGCCAAATGCTGTAAGGTTGTGTTGCATCACGTGGTGCAATATTGAAATCTTTCCTAATACCGCAGTACACTGCAGTAGAATGGTTCTAATGCAGATTACCTGGAGATTATTCAGACAGTCCAAGTTACCTCAGTGAAACATGAAGGAAATTGGTGTGATGCTCCTGGCATCGTGCTGCAGTGCCACACTGCAGGATATTGCAGGAGCAGGAAACTTTTGGACACCTTTAGCTCTGCACTGATTTATTGTTTCAGAGTGGGATGATAGAGCAAAGTAGCACAGCAATGACTGTACAATAAATCACAGTGAACTGAGGGGGAGCAGTTCTTTTCACATTGTTCTCAGGTAACTGTGTAGAAATCATCTGACAGACAAAGCTCTAGTGAAATCTTTTTAGTTTAAGGATTATAACTTTTCCCTTCTAAGAGTTAGAGCTCACTGGTGTCTTGAGGATAATGTTTTTCCAAAAGGATATAATAAATTTAATGACAGCTACTTAATTTTTTTTTTCAAATGTGAGAGTACAGTTTAGTGCAAGAAATGCTGACATGCATGATTTTTCAGAGCTGCTGCTCCCGGCTTTTGAGTCAACTATCTCACATGTACACCAAATTGCTGCTCTAGCTTTCTTTGTATTCATTACTGCTCTGTGCTTGATAAATAATGCAGGGTATGGAAGTGTCGTTAGAATATTACTTTCATGACAAATAAAGTTTAAACTGAAGTTACTACACATTAAAAATAAGCAAATTATATGTGGGTAGATTTTTTTTCCCCCCCAAACACTAATAAAGAAAATTTAAGAGAAGTTGTATATGTATCACACTTTTAATCTAAGATTCTTTACAGAATGTTTTTTAGGGGACTTTTCCTAAATCTTAAGGATGATAAACAGAGAAGACAAAAGAAATGAAGAGAGAAGGTTAAAACAAAACCTCTCATCTGAGATTTGACCTCAGAAGGGAAATCCTGGAGGTGAAGCCATTGCAGAGAAGAAGTAAAAGAAGGTAACAAAGCCTTGAGACTAACTGTGATCACGGGGAGCAGAGCTGGAGGGGAGGTCAGAAGCTGTTGAGAAGTGGAATTAAATGTTTTATAATCTAAGAAGGCAGTTATCGATTCTGCAACAAGCTAGGGTTTCTGCTGCCATTTCAGAGTACATATGAGTGCCCTTTTGCAAAGCTGTGAGCAGGTGGGATGTAGGGTCCTGCAGATGCTTGTTTTGGTGGGGACCACAGGCAAACAGAGCAGTGACAAAGTCACTGGCATAGGTGAAGCGTTGGGAAGCAGCCTTTCACTTGATCAATTCTCAGGGAAGAGGTGGTGATAATTATTTCGTCAGAGGGATCAAAAAGGGAAATTCTGACTCAGAGAACCCACAGAGAAGAGTCAGAAGAGGTGATCAGCAAATATTTAGAAGTGGAAAGGCACAGGAGGGTGTTTCTGTGGTTGCAGTTACTCTTGAATACAGTTTACCTATTTTTCCCAAGTTGGTGAGGCAGGGAAACAACATGGAAATTGTGTCAAACTCCTGCAGTTTAATGTAAGAGTTGAATGTGCTGTAGCAGCAGCAGCCCTCCTGCAGAGAGAATTTTGACCTCAAATATTCTTTCAACTTGTCTCTCATGACAGCCTGTTCTGACTTAGAATCTTGCCCAGCAAGGCTGAAGAAGGAGATCCTTTCTCCCTTACCCTTGTCCTGCTTGGAGAATTGCAGTACAATCAGTCAGTGCATATTCCTTGATAATTTAGGTGATGTTCAGCCACACCTATTAAAGGAAACTAAAAATTCTATCTGAGTGTCATAGGTTAGGCTGACAGGCAAAAAAAAGAAAGTCAAAAAGAAAATATGATGGCATTTTTAGTGGAGAAACCTTGCCTTCAGAGGTCTGCTGCCCTTCCCCAGTGTGAGCCATGGGATTCAAGGGCACTGCACAGCTCTGTGAAGCCACCTCTGCTCCTGCAGACTGAGGCCTGTAGACCTCATTGGCAGATCTAAGAGTCCCTGTATCAGTGAACTGAGGGAAAAAAGGTCACAAGCTGCATCTAGTGATGTGGCATAAGAATACGAGACGATACATGAAATTATTTAAGAAGAGTAGCTGAGTGAGTGAAAGGCTAAGATCATCTCTTTTCACTGGTATGTAGGTATGCTTTAGGGACTATGTACTAATTAATTATAACTGAGTGAAATATTCTGCCTGAATTACTACTTAACTGGTTAGAAGGGTTCTCCAACCATCTAATACTTTCTAACAAAATATTTGGTTTTTCCTCATCAAACAAGAACCAAAGTAAATACAGTCAAAACCAAAGAGGCAAGCAAATAAAATACAGAAGACATAGTGTCTGAGTGTTATCAACTTCTTTTGATGAAATAATTTACTTTCCCCCTCAATATTCTAGATTACATAATGCCATCAGTGCTACACTAGCAGCTTAAACATACCATAGGAAATGTTGTGAGAGTTTCTGGTAGATGATTAAACCTTATAAAACACTTCCTTCAGTTGAAAGAATAATGTTTGCTGGCTTGATATAGGCAACTGATTTTAGAAAGAATTGTCATGTCATATGTTCTAAATTCAGCAGGGTTATTACAAATCTTCATTCTGCAAAACTTGCTAAACTGTTTACTCCATACAGTGCTTCATATGGTTAAAACGCATGCTAACATTAGTTAATTCTCACAAAATCTTTGAAATGAGGTAACGTGTACTGTTATTTCAGATTCATTGAAAAGACAAGGTGAACTATAAATTTAAAGGTTGTATGATTTATCCAAGACCAAACTCTGTGATTCCAGTGCTACAGACTGAACCTCTCCATGGCTAGAACATTTTGCCACCTACATGTCATGTAAAACCAAATTCTTGTCAGCTTTATATATGCAGAGGTAATTGTCCTTATTTTTTGGGCTCCTCAGCTCAAACAACTTGCATATTTAAATTCCCTCTGTTTATTATACTGAATGTAAATCAAATGGCGAATGAGCCATACAGTTGTACACTCATGGCTTAGAGTATTGCTGGAAAAATGCTTGCAGGAATCCTGTAGGCATAAATTGACTTTATAGACAGAGAGGCTGTTCTTGAGCCTAGATGGAAATATACTGCTGAAGCTCCTATGGCACTTTTTTTTATTACAGCAGCAGTGTGCCCCTTTGTCCTTGGTTGAAATTTGCTCTGTATTCATTTTTGGCAGTGTTTAGAGTAGCAGTTGTCAATCTGTATGTGGCCTTACATCCCAGAGGGAATTGCACTTCATTAGTATTTTAACTATACAGTGGAAAGTTGTTTAAAGATTATTTCAGACTGATATACAACACCAGTCCTTCCACTTTTATATTACTTCATAAAGTTGGGTTGAACTACATAGAGTAAAAAGACATTTACTTTTACAAGAAGGGAAAAATAGCTCTAGTAAGTTTTGAGGTTTTTATTCTTGCAGGGAAGATGCATTGCTGTCCATTCTCTGAAGTGTATGCAGAACTACTCTTAGTTGAAGTAATATTCCCTGGAGTAAGAGAACAATATGTATGTCTCTTTTTCTACTTCATGACCTCTAATAATAATGCAGATTTTTCTTCCTCTCCTACCTATCAAAATGTTGCAAAACCAGAGAAACTGGGGAAAAGATTTGAAGTAAAAGAGCAAGCACTTTGAGTATTAATCAGGCATGACTTCTCTTCCATGATTACTCACCTATGACAGCCAGTAAAGACACAGAAGTAGAGATAGTAAAGATGTTGCTAAGTTATTAAATAGTGACCAAAAATCAAGCCTGGAATTTTTTAACTGCTGTTTCACATATTTGCTTTTAAGAGTTAAAGGGAGAATGCCACCAACAGTAATGCTTTGGGGTCGAATGAAAGATATAGTTTCTACTACCTTATAAAAAGAGTAATATGCATCCTCTTATAAATTCTCATATCAGGTTATCAGAGAGTTTGTTTGAATAAGTCCAATTTGAAAGTTTATCTAATATATTTCAGCCTTTTAGGAAAAGTTTATTTGACTGCTTGGGCTGTTGCATGGAGCAAATGCACAATTATTGCACCTCAACAGAGATTTGCATGTGATCAAATTTTCTCTAATGATCCCATAAACATCTTTAGACAAGATACATGATGCATTGCTGTTCTTAAATGTTTATCATTTGTTTATAATTTGTTAAAATAGATTGCATTGGATTACCCAAGCCAGGTCATAATGAGCATGCCAAGAGTTTGACTTTACAGAGTTATGTTGACTGTTTCTTCTTCCAGGCCACTTCTTGCTTCTAAGTGTTTGGATATATTATCCTGCATGGAAAGAGCTTTCTTGGGATTATTCAAACTCCTGTGGCATAGGTATTTCATCCAGTTCAATAGAGTTTTATTTCTTGGTCTGTGTATTAATATATTTTGTTGTGCATGGCATTTAGAAACAAGCAAATTGGAGTATTAGTTCTCCATCTGTCAGCTGTGAAATAGTTATTTAATAAAGATACTAATCTGTCATGTAGAATTAGCTTCCTGCATCTTACTTGGCATCTTGCTATCTTAATGTGAATCTTTCACTGAGTATGGGATTAAAATACAGATAAATAAATTTACATGGTTTATAGGCATAAGAGATATCTCGGCTCTTATTTAAACTCATGTAAATCATCTAGGCTCAGAGAATAATGCATTTCCCTGAAATGTGTTTAGTGCTATTTGAGGGGCCTGGAGGTAGTAACCACCATTGTAAGCCCAGAACAGGGTCCAAGCCCTGTGGGAAGTCTGTTCCCATCAGAAGAGGCAGCTGGAAGCCTGGCATAATAACTTATGGTATCTAAGATTGCACCATGCATTTATTTTTAGGCTACTGAATTGAGCCCTACAGCAGTTCCCTCCAGGAAGCTTTAGCTGTGTTCAGTAGGGGCTTCACACTTACGACTGTTGGAGCTGCTCAAGGCTGAGACATCTCCAAAAGGATGACAATTGTGATAAAAACCCTGGGAGATTTGTACTTCTAGAGTAGCAGCTAAAGGCCAAGCCAATAACAGTGCTAGGCACCTGCTTAGAAAGCCAAATTGCCCCTTGCATCTCCAGTGATCACAGCAATAACTTAAGACACCTGGTGCACCAGTGACATCTAAATGCAAGCATCTTAATCTAGAATCCCGTACTGAAAACTCAGTAATGATGCTAGCTTATCCTGAAATCCATTCAAATGAATGCCATGTTTCACTGATAGTTGAATAAATTATTGGTTAGAACAAAAATTTAGTACTTCCAGAAGTACTAAATATACCTGCTTAAAAATTAATTAATCAGCCTTTCCTATCACTCAATTTAACAAATAAAATTAATTGTTTGTTGCAAAAATAAGAGCTTTTCCAGTAGATTTCTTCAAGCTTTTGATTTAAGCCACAGTTCTACAAAGGACTTTGGCATATTTAAGTATTAATATATACTTAAATAATATACTTATATAGAACTCCTAAGTTCTATTATATATATAAATATAGAACTGCTAAGTTGATAAAATGTGGAAAGAGGGCACTATTGTGAAAAATAAGAATGGCTTCATTAATTCCTTGGGTTATTCAACAGATTTTAGAATGTAGTACAAGATTTGCAGCAAGTTCTCTGTGTAATCCTGTGAGTTGTAAATGCTGCTGAGGCTTTAAAGTCAAGGAGGACATCTGGGTAAATAAAGCCAGAGCTGCTGCTTTACCATGAATAGCATCACTTCTTAGAAAAGTATCTCAGGTTATTTCACAGGGAGTCACACCAGGATAGTGATCTGCAGCGAGGAAGTGACCTCTTGAATATCAGGAATAAAATCATAGAGTTTTATCCTTCCTCTGAAAGACAAGTGGGATCATTTCTGTGCATTTATACTCTTAAGAGTTGCAGTAGTGCTCTGATAGATGCTCCCCCAGATTCCTAGCTGAATTTGCAACACAGCAATACTGATGATTCTGGAAAATCTGTACTCTATATTTCTAAGCTGAGAGCAGCAGATTTGTGCTTTTGAATAATCTTTTCTCAGAAATTACTAAGATATTACACTGTAAATCTTTTGAGCAGTAACACACTTCCGCATTCTGGCAGCACCTAGTTTCACTGAATTCATTAGTAAACATTGCACTGGTTTCAGGTAAAAAAGATTAGAACCTGTAACAGGGCATATAACTTATTTAAATCTGGTCATGTTTTCCATCATACACTTGCTATTGGGAACTTTGAGACTTCAGTGCAGCCCAAGTTTTTCATCAACATTGTATTTAATATTCTGACAAGTTCAATGTAAAATGTGACAATCTAAATAACACAACCCAAATGCCACTTATCATGCTGAATTGGAAATAAATAGGTTTTTATGTGGTAGATTTATTTTAAGACCAGTTAAATTTGGGTTTTGGTTTGGCTTTTTTCCCAAGGAAAACTAGGATAATTGAAGGCTGAACTCAGAGGGTAAATAATATAAAATGTTAGTACATAATAAAATCTTAGCTTTATTATGTATTTATTATGTATTGCATTAAGGCTACAGATACTTGGCCTAAAATAAACCCCCTTGCATTCCACCTGGGCCTCAGAAATCAGAAGGGTTGGGTGCAGCTGGGTTTAGCTTCTGATAAGAACTGATTCAGCATTACCAGACTGGTTGAGTTCAGTAAGAAATTGTATGATCATAGACTTGCAAATAGTGCAGTTTATCAGTTCAGTACGAGTTCAATAAAAACTTTCAGAATCCAGATGCACAAAAAGTACAGTTACCTGAAATAACAGGAAAGCAGATTCAGAATTGCACTAACTACAGTGTATCACTACACAGTGATACAGCGTAGCACAGTGCATCACTACAGCAGGTGATAGTAACAGAGCTCTATTACTGATGTCTAGATAGAAATATAAAAATATTCCCAGGTCTTTACAATGCACTGAAGGCAAAAATCTCACCTAGAGGCATCCCTTCAGGGGAGGAGGACAGTCCATCAACTGATCCCAAGTAGGCAAAGGTATTTCCCCCTCTCTCTTTTTTCTTTCTTTGCCCCAAACCCCCCCTTCCTTTATATCATAGGTAGGGGTTTGAGTGTTCTGATGATACACGTAAGGTGTGTTTCCATTTCTCTTCATTTGCATTCTTAAGATGTAAAAGTAAATATGCAAATAGGGCTTAATGAGTGTGTTGGCTATTTTCAGTCAGAACTTATAGTTGACATAAAAGGTAGAATAAACACTTTGGTCCTCCTCCACCTGCTAAGGTGGCAGTAAAGGCTGTCTGACCTTCACTAGAAAGTCTTTGAGTACATCTTTGTCTCCTTAAAGGACCACATTTATAACAAGGCTGGTTATGCAGAGTGGCTGGTAGAGAGGTGCAGGTTTTCTCTGGGGCTTCTCTGAGACTTCTGCTTCACCCGGGCATCGTTCAGTCCTTATGCCTTGCTTGAGCCAGGTATAAGATAGGCAGGGGCACATCTCATGTTCCTCTCAACCAGTCTCATCAGTTCTTCACCAATTTAAGGCAACTCTATAGCAAACCATATACTGTAATTGTGGATCAGTTCCTTGACTTGCTGAAACCAGTGTCAAAGCCCTGTTTTAAGCCAACAGAATCAGACTCATCAAGTGGGTACGCAATCTCATGTTGTAAACTTGTAACACTTTGCACTGAGTCTATTGAAGGAAAAGAGAAATAATGATTTCAGCATGCCATCTGCCAGTTCTCTGGCTGAATGGAACAGCCTATGTCAGACAAAGGGTGAGATATGTTTTTAAGTAACCTTTGTGGATTTTTGGTGGCTTTGGGGTTTCTTGTGTGGTTTTGGTTTGGCTTTGTTTTGGCTTTTTGTGTTGCTTAGTAACAATATCACAATTAAAAAATTTATAACATTTTTTGCAGTACGTGAGGTGTTAACATGTTTGTAAAAATTAAGAGTCCAATTAATGTTTCCTCTGCAGAACTTTAAAATTATATGGCTCCTTCCTTTTTCTTTTTTCCCTTCTATAAATGACCTAGGATAGTGAAAAATTGTAAATTTGCATTTCAGAATTACTGAAATCAGTAGTGTTTTCAAATAGAGCATATAGCAGAATTAAATAACTTGTAAAGCATAAGTGGCTTTCAAAAGTCATATAATGTCTTTGTGGTTAGTAGCTGCACACAGGGTAATGCCTGTGAACAATAATGTTTCCTCCAAATGAACCACTGAACAAAGCATTCAGTGTCAGAAATCTTACTTGATGACTTGCAGAACTATGTCAGAAAAATTTAAAATAAAGAACCAGATACACTTTAACAGATTACTTATGCCATCCTTTCAGCTCTCTAACTTCTGCTGGTCTACTGGAATCTATCCTACTACTCAAAATCTGTTCAAAACCATAAAAAGGTGATACAAGATGAGTTGGACCAGGCCAGTTTCTGTAAGGAGACACACCAACTTTATAGTCACTGACTAGCTGGTGGAGAGAAACAGGCTCTCCCAGACAGTAAGTCATCTGCTGTCTTTTAGACACATGTCATAGGGTGAGATTAATCAACTCCCTTTCTGCAGTGACTGAGCTAAATGTGGTTAGACAACCTCTAACTTTTAAGGCAGTAAAGGTTTCGTTAATGTTAATCCCAGTCCCCAAGTTATTTTGCTTGTTTTCTGATGATGCATTCTATTTTGCCTTTGATCTGCTTTGGCATATAAGATTTTGGAGGGAAGCATCTCCAGCAGTCCTTGGACAAAGTTCACATTGACTCCTGTGGGAGGTCAGGGTGAGAAAACACTGCAAGACTTCTCTTCCAGAAAGTGAAGTGTTTCACTGTTCCTTTTCCTTATTAGTGACATTTTATTCTACCTTTCCATTCCCTTTAATCACTGGCTAGAAATGATGCCAGCAGACAGTTAGGTGTTATCCCCAGGGCCCATGAGTTGTCACAATAAATTCTGTGAAAAGTCTGATTAATGTCTACTGCAGGAACTGAAGGCATTGCTCCTTAACATAAAAATACTTACAGTCGACTACTACACTCTGTTCCTTTTATTTGGCAATGTAATGATTTCATCATTCTACCCATAACACAAGCAGTTGGGCTTATGTCCAGTAGAGCTGCAGCAGAGGGGCCGGGTCACTTGCTGTTGCTGCCCCTCAACTGCTTTCCTGCCTTGGTCCCTTTATAAACAGCAGGACATTCCTTCTCTCAGCATGCTGAGAGAATATGGCAGCTGTTAAGGCCCTTAGTGAAATTGGTTTAGCTGTTAGTACACCCTCTGACCACAGGCAAGAATCTTGTCAGCTCAGAACAATTTTATATATAATGCAGATAAATTGCTGAGCTCCACATCCTGCCATGACCATGGTAAAAATTGTCCTTAGCTTAAAAAGGCAGGAGGTATTTTCTTGGATCCAGATGCTTGCCTGGTGTAAGGACTGTGTGAAAGATTTTGTTGTCCATGTGCTTCACGGTGTCTACCAGCAGCACCAGGCTGCTCTCATGGATTCTGAACATCCAGAAGTCCATATTTCCATTGGCTCCATTAAGCTGTTTAAAAATGTAGGCAAGTCTGATACCTTCCAAAAGCTGTTGCACTTGGTACTGATGTGCATGGTATTGGCACAGTGTGTACAGGACTACCCCTGGTGCCTGATTTGGGGGATCATGGCTTGCTCTGCATGCCGTGACAGCCTGTATATTCAATGTACCTCTGGAAATCCTGGGCTGGCTTGCTAACCCAGTACAAGTTCAGTCCCATGGTTCAGAGAATATTTGTCTTAATACAAAATGAGAGACAAAAGACAAATTGTTAGAGGACTGCAGGGAAATATTAAAAAAATATAGAAATCAATCTGTCAGTTGTTAGACTTAGCACATTGGCAGCTCTAAATTTGCTGCAATTCTGCGGCTCTTATGTGTGCTTTTCGGAGGGTAAAGAAGTAGCTCACAACTGCCAAGGCCAAGGGAGGAAATATCAAAGTACTTCATTTGAGAATCAAAGAACTGGGTTGTGGAAATTGCTGTGCTGGGTTATCAGAGGCAGAAATAATATCTTTGAGCCAGATGAAAAAAGTTAAGCTGAGTGAAGTATATACTCAAAAGCATTGTGGAAAAGAAGGAATACTGATGCCCAACTGATTGCATACTCTACCTGTTTCAAATCTGGTGTTTTGTTGTTCAGACAAACACAAAGTTCCAGTTTGGACCTTACCTGTCAATGGTGAGGTCAGTGCTGGAACTTTTGTTCCTTTGGATTCTGTTTTGTCTATATGTTTATTCATTTGAATGATCCCTGTCTGTGGTATGAGTATCCATCCAGCACGGATCAGTGGCAGAATGAAGTCTCTAGTGAGTCATGCTGGACAGAGATATTCAGGCTGCTTCCTCTTCCAGAATTTGCATGGGATGGATGTTTTCTGATCTTTAAAGAAAAATAATGTCAATTCTTGTAAACACAGTCTCCTTTCTCCAGTGAGACAATACTCAGCAATCCTACTGTTATCACACTAAGCATATTCTGTGTAAAACTTTGGTTTAATACTCCTTTTAATGGTGATTTCTTATCTATATTGCTTGCCCTGTTGTGTTAGTAAACATGTTGACAAGACTGCAGCTGTCTTTTGCAAATTAACAAGTTCACCCCTGTATGGAAAGCCAGCTCTTTTGAGACATAGAACAGACATTGGAATAGTAGCAAACTGGACTTCTGCAAAAGAATTGACTTTACTTTATAGAGTAGTGCAGCCAGATATTCTCCCTTTGACATAATAGCCCCATGTAATTCTCCTTTTCTAGCTCTGAGTTACCTTTTTGACAGCCTCTTCATGAGGCATTAAATTTGCTTCTGACTGATTGAGGCCAAGTCAATCGCAAATCACACTGTCACATCTAGGAATTCATGAGTTTTCAGCTCTGTGAACGTAGTTCACCTTTATGAATTGACCATATGTTTGCTGGAAAGAAGACTCAGGTTTGAAAATCAGATTTTCTATGTATCGATTTAATAATTTAAAGTAGAAAATATCTTCTCTGAGTATAGTGGCAACACTTAAAAGAAATGGTTACATTTCCAGTAGAATTTATACTTTCATGAAAAGCTATCATCCTAATTGGGAAAATAAAGCTCAAAGTATGACTTGTTCCTTTTTCCTGGTAGAGAAATTCAGTGCTTTAAAAAACCCAGAACAGCACATTGCTTTAAAAGTATTGTTTTATGAAGCAAATTATTTAACTGTATATTTTGGGTTGGGTTCTCCTTGTTGCTGTTATTCCTCATGAAGCAGCCCAGCTCTCTTCGAGTCCTTAGCCTGTCACTTCTTTTGTAAATCAAGTTTTCCACTGCCAGGATGTGTCACACCTCACCCACTCAGTTGTCCTGGGTAGTTCTGGGTTGGTTTTCTGTGGCTGCAATTGTCTTCCTGACCATGGAATGATAACCATACATCCCACTTAATAGCATGAATAGCTAGCATTTTCTTCCATTCTAGGGAAAGGTTCTATCACACCTGTATCTTTCAGCCAGAAGCTGGACTAAATTTTTTATTGAGACAAATGTAGAAACAGTAGAGATCCCAGCCAGATTGAACACAGAAGTAATATGGAGGCCAGGGCTCTGTGAGTGAAAGCTGCTTTCTGTGCATAGTTTTGTAGGAAAATGTCTGATGTACAGGTGTTAAACAGACCATCTCCCATCTTTCAAGGGGGATACAACTCACTGCTTGGCTAGTTTTCACTTTCTTAGGATATTTTCATACAAGGTAATTACCAATATCCAGCAAAAGGAGGGTTGTTTGGGGCTTTTCAAAGGGTTCTTGTAACATCCCTGTGGCATGATACAGTAACTGCTATTTTTCCTTTGATGTCCTTCAGGAAGTGTCTGTGTGACAAGAAAGACACTTAACAATGAAAAAATTTACACTGTTTGATTTTGTAAATGATAATTCACTGCAAATTGGAGAGACTTCATGGATACAGGACCTTCCCTGTGATGACAGTGAACTAGAAAGGCTTCTGAAGCCTAATGAGCACGTACTAGTAAACTGGCCTGTGGGAGAAAGAAAGACAGAAAAGCACCTGGTGAAAGTTGTGTGCATGAGTGGTGAGTGCAGTTCCAGAACATTTGTCTGCTATGAAACATGCTTTTAAGTTATAGTTGCCTGACTGTCTGTGCTTTGGTCTTTTTCCTTTCCATCACTTCAGATGACCCCCAAGAGCTAGTGGAAATGATGCAAAAGATATTACGAGCAGATGAAATTACAAAGATACAAGTCCTTGGAAAAGGCAAGAGGAAGAGGATAGAAATGATATTCTCAGAAAGTGAGGACAGTGACCTGGATAAAGAAAAGGTGAGTTTGTGTCCTTATGTGCCTTATATTGTCAGGTCCACAAAGGAATGAAATAGACTGCAACTACTGATTCTTCATGACATAACACACAAAGGATGTATAGTAAAGGTAGGAACACAGGCAGCCTTCACATGGTACCTCAGCACAATAATCTGCCAGAGTAATTACTTAGGCAAATGGATTTTGTCCTTCTCTGTGTCAAGAGATGAGTGTTACTCAAGGCTTTGAGGCTCTGTAGATCCATTGCATTTCCCCCCATAAGACAGAAATCCGACTAGTGCATAAAAAAGGGAAGGGACCAGGTTTTCTGAGGTGTGCCTTGTGCTGAGAGCTGCAGTGACAAAATATAGGCAAGTAAAACATAAAAGTTAACAAAGTTACAGATACATTTTTTAAAACTACTAACCAGGACTGTCAAGTGCACAGTGAATAAAAACTTTTGGTATATTATGAAATACTGTATTGAAAGTCTCTATAGGAATGCAAAGGCACTGTTATGCATTTTTTACAGGGAAAGATGATGAAACATGTAAAAAGAAAGAAATCGTTGCAGGCATCTGCTCCTGCCAACATCCTGAGTCAACTTGAAACATCTTTAATTAACAAACAGGTAAACATCTTTTCAGCAATTTTAATATATCAAGTAAAAGCAGTCTGAAAGGTATTTTTGAGGGAGGCATAGGATTTTTGCCATAGTGAAGCTGACCATTCCAAAAGATGCTGCTTTAGAAAATTGATGAATAGAGAACAGACAAAGATACCTAACAGTTACATATTACACTGATGTTTCATTTTTAATTTTAATAAGAATATTAATAGTGATGTTTGATAAAAGCTTTTATTAAAATGCACTGAGTCTGTTTATACAAGAGAATTTTTTGATTTAGCCAGATATTTTAATGTTAGTTTTGATGCTTTGATTTTATGTTGTTTTTGCTCTAGATATCACAGCTGTTTGGGGTTTTTTTCAGAGAGAACCATACTCAGGAAGCAACTTTCTATATAGTGAAAGTAGCAGTGATGAAGAAGAGCCTTTATTTCAACTCTCCAAGGTGGAACTATGTGCCAAAATTAAAAGTCTCAAGAGGAAGCTGACAGATACCATGAGAGAAAACTGCCGCCTAAGGCAGTCCCTGGTGATGCTTCAAGGTAAAGTTGGGAGTATTTTGATGAAGAGGAAAACCTGAAGGTCATGAAAAGCTTGATTTATAAGAGGCCATTTGGTTGGGAATTATGGATGCTCAAGCACCTGACATGATCAAGGCCTACCATTAGCATCACAGTCTGTGATACATGGCAGCATTTAATTCCAGCAGCACTTACTGACTTACACAGAGGCCATTCAATCATAGAATTAGAAATGAAAAATGTGTCTCAATCCTGTTAGTTATTCTCAGGAGAACCTTTCTGTATGCTGTGTAACCATTGGCTAAGCTCAATACTTCAGTGACGAGTCCAGTGACCCTTATTTACTAGCAGTCTTTCTTGATCAATTGATATTTCATTTATTCTGAAATTACTTAATTTCTAATTACTTTGGTAATTCCTCATTACTGATAATCTGAGTTAGTTTCAGATGCACCAAATTTAATTCTTCCCCAGAGATGAAAAATTTTGTTCCTTGCTAAATGAATCCTTCATCTCTTAGTGATCATCTCTGAACTGCCTCTCACTTGTCCCTGTCCCTTACTCTGAGGCAGCCAAAACTGAATCCAAAATTTCAAACCACTAGTGAGTGATTAAGTTTTAAAGAGGATTTACTCCTTCCTGTGCCAGCTACACCATCCTAGACAATGTGGTGGTATCTGGCCTTTTTTTTTTTATTGTCAGATGATTTTGCAACTGTGAATAATTTTCATTTCCCACCTTATTGCATTTCTTATGCTATTCATCTTGGTTTGAATCATTAATCTCCACCTTTTTAAATATTATTTGTAAACATTTTCTTTGTGTTTGACAACTTTTCTCACACATAAGTCAATTTACCTTGCATTCTGAGCAACTATCTTAGTCTTTTACAGTATTTTATTTAATTTAGTGATTCTGTGTCTTGCTGATATCTCTTGCATCCTTTTTGCTCTGCATTGATTCTTCTTAATGGGTAAAATAAAAGTTTATATTTGAAAATATTACTCTGAGGAAAGATTATTTAAAACATATTCTCTATAGATGAAAAAAAATAAAAACCTCTGCAATCTGTGTAATTTCTTTGAAGGAAAAAGAATCAGACATCACTTAGCCCATATTCAATAGCTTTATGGACTTGCAGAGATTGTGAGATTGTAAAAAGAAAAAAGAGAAATAGTCTGTTTTGTCCCAGGATGGGCATAAACTAATAGTTCCTCTTAGTCTTTCACTGAATTGATCTATTCTAGAAACTGAGCCCAGATCTTCATGGGTAGGGACAGCAGAATGGCAGGAAAGCATTTGAGAGAGGAGGAAAAATATGTTGAAATGTCTTTGCTGACTATTTTGGGTCTTTCACATTATGACAGGAATCTAATTGCAAAAATATCTCTGCTTATGTAATTGGAGTCTGAAAGCTTCCATTACTATTTTACCCTTCACTTTTCATCTGATTTCAGTGTTGCCACAGGCAGTCACTCATTTTGAGGAACTGGTAGGGATGGCTGAAGCACTGCTCAAAGGGGGAGTGACATCATCTACGTCCACTTTGCATCCACATTCTGTTTGGAAGGCATCTCACAATCCATTAGCAGATTCCTATGCAGCTATGCATAGTAACTCCAGCTCACCAATAACTTTGAATGTGGAAGAAGAGGAGCAACAGACTGAAAAACAGGTCAGTTAAAAGGCAATTTCAGGCATGAAACTTTATACAGTATAAAGTTTACTGCTATAACATAATATAAAAGATAACCATCAGTAAAATAATTTGTCATCATTGCATTGATAACATAACTAAAGAGCTCTTTTTGTGCAGAATGCTCTTTCCATGAGAACATTAGCTTTTATTCAGTGTCCTGTATATTCTCAAATTCACTTTAATTTCAGTGGCCTTGCATACCTGTGGCAAAGGGCAGAATGTGAATACATGATGAAAATGCCAAGATCCAGGGATAAATTCCAGCCTAATTGTTTGGATGACAAAGGGGAATAATAGTATTTCAAAGATAATTTAAGATGAATACCAGCAGTCTGTTCAAACTGTTAATTTGTAATTGGATGCTGCTGTGTTTCTTCTTCTGTTCCAGACACTGGCTAGCAGTTAAGTAGAAATATGTGTACATAGAGATACTGAGTAAAGAAGTTCTGTTATTCTCTGCAATTATAAGAGAACATGATTGAGAAATCTAAAGCACAGGGCCTGTACATGAAAAAAATGAAGGCACAACCAAAAGAATGATTGCAGAGTCTGCATTCACAATTTAAATAAACATTATTATGCATTGGGTCATGCTAATCAATGCAAATAATTCCTGTGTGTTGTCATCGAGTGCTAAAATCCAAAGAAGTCTGTTAAGAATTATCATGGTATGTTTTGGCTGCATATAGGAAACCACAAAATTTGACCTGACATCTTCAAAAAAATAAAAAGATCTAATTTTCTGAGCAGCCTGCCTTACTTTGAGGTAGCTCAAAACTGCCTATTAGGAAAGCTCAAGCTCTTGGCTGTACCACCGCTGCATGCAGAAGCCACTCTCAAAGCCCGGGACCAGATGTCGCAGTTCTTAGGGCATGTCTGCTTGCAGGCAGGAATATTTGCTTGGGCACAGTGCCACGCTACCAAGGCAGTACAGAAACCATGCCAGAACTGGACCACAGCCAGCCTGCATGGAGAGCAAGCAGAAGGATTTTGCTATGTCTGAACATGTCCTGTCTTCACTAGTGAGTAATAAGGATGGTGGAGGGTTTGGTAGGATGCATGGGGTCCTTAGTCTGCCCCACACTTCTTTCTGGAAAATAATCAAGCTGTGTGTATAGTCCCAAATGCTGAGCAATATGCAAGTGTGGTGTTATCTCAAGCACACTGTTTGCAGAGATTGCTTTTGAAATTGTGGTTTAGAAATAGAAAATGAAAAAGATATTTCAGTGGTAATAGTATATAATATTTCTAGAAAACTGCAGTAGTTATGCCTATGACCAATTTTGTTTTCCAGTTCAAGATCGAAAAGTGGCAGATTGCACTTTGTAACAAGAGCAAACCTCAAAAATTTATAAATGACTTGATGCAAGCACTTTATACACATGAATACATGGCTACACACAGCCTGACAGGTGCAAAGTCCTCCTCTTCAAAGGATAAAGCGGCAAAACCAGCTATGAATCAGAATGAAGTTCAGGAAATCATAGGTGATGACTTGTTAAGTTACTCAATGTGGCTCTGACTTGACAGGGGACTTTCTTGGAGGGAGGGGCTGTCGTGCTTAGCAGCTGGTCTACTCAGGTGACGAGCTATTTCCTTCTTCAGCTACATGCTTTTTAAAACCGTCTGTTATAAATACTGCCAGTGAAATGCAATGTAGTAGTGTTGTGTGAATTCTGTGTGTTTTATTCAGGTGACTGCTCAGAAACAGTGATATTGTAAATTGGTTTAGCCCTTGCAAGGTTAATCTGCAACAGTAAAACTTGGAGCACGATGATAACAGATAAGGGAAGGCAAAAAAGGACACGCTTGGATCAAATTTTAAATTGTCTGCTGTGTTCTGAAGTTTAGTGAATGTTATGAATTCTGACATTTTAAATAGCGCTAGAGGCAAAATGAGAGTGTATAGAAGACAAAAATAGCGATCAGAGAAGCAAACAAAATTTGATTTATGCTGAGGTTTACAGCAGAAAATATTTGGTGCATAGGACAGAAAATAATTTCAGATGGAAGTATTAGCTTTAAAGAAAACAGTATTTTGTGAGCATATGAAGCCAAATTTTAATTAGATTCACGCCTATGACTAAATACTAGAACAATATAGCCTTACTTACTGTACTATAATTCCCCCCCCATTGCCATTCCCTTGGATTTTGCAGTTCTCTTGGTTCCTTTCTCAGTTTAGCTCCAGTTCCTGTACCTTAGTATAGTTTTGTTGAAGTTAGACAGCAGCTTCAAAAGTTTTCAGTTGCAAAATCATTTTTTTTCTTAAGAACCTTGTTAGAAAAAAAAAAGCTCCAAGTCAAGAAAGATAAAAGGAAAGAGTGTGTAGGATGGTAAAAATATATTTAGAGGCAGTAAGATGAAACAGTTTCAGAATGACATTTTAGTAAAAATGAAAAATATTTAATGGGATGAGAAAAATGGTTGGACAATGGTCTTTTTCAACCTAAATTATTCTAAATCCTACTAGGGCCTTGGCAAAATTGAAAAGGGAATCAGAGAAGGTAATCAGAGAATTGAATACAGCATGTTGTGGAGAATTCAGTGACAAATCCTATAAAGAAACCAAAGAACTTTGTTAAGGTAGAAGAGAATATTCTGGAATTTAAACAGAAAAGTGTCAACATTATACAAGAGAAAAAGAAAAATGAGAAGGAAGCCTAGGAGTTTTAGGCTTGTAGAAAATGAATTAGTAAATCAGATTATTTAAAGAAGATGGAAATTGTAGGACTTCAAAATAAAATTAAATTAAAGGGCAGAGAAATCAAGGGGAGAGAAGATGATGGAAAGAAGAGTGCAGGACTCATGTTGAGTCCCGTTGAGTCCCGTTATTATTGCATTCAAAAAATGTAGCCAGGCAAAAAATGTAGCCAGGCAAAACAGAACGGAAATTTTTAGAAAAAGTGACATCACCTGCAAAAGAAACTTAATGAGGAAAAAAAGAGTAAGATTCAGAGTCATAAGGACTGATGAGGATAGGAAAAGGACTCTGATCAAGAACAGAACATAAGGAAAGAGGATCAGCAAGCACAAATCACTGGCTACAGAACCCCTTGTGGCCCTGGAGTTCCTTTTGAGTCTGCCAAGAGCAGGCGCAGCAATGTGGAAGGCACAAAGGAAAACAGGAGCTGTCTAAAATCTATGAAGAAGTTTGTAAAGATTGTGAAGTAACTAGAGTGGAAGCTGAAGTAGCTGAAACTTTAAAAGATGCAAGAAATATACTTTATATCACACATCTCTTGTTTCCCTGATTTGGAGGGTCCATATATATATATATCATCTCTTAATTTTACAGGAATCACAAAACAGTTGTTTCCAAACACAGATGATGCTTTAATCAGGCGAATGATGGGACAAAAATTGAACAATTGCACCAAGAAGCCAATTTTAAGCAAAGATCTTAACTCAGGTGCTTTTCAGAAACATAGCTTTTGGTAAGTCAAATTAAAAAATGCCTGCACTGTGTAAATCTGCATATTACTTCATAGTAATAAAATCTAAGAGCAGTCTTAAAATTCAGATAACAATATATATTTACCTACCTGGTATATGTACTACCCAGCCAGTAAATATTTCCATAAACTTGTACAAAAAGTACATAATAAAGAAGCAGTCTAGCATAACATTACTGCACAAAAATAGTTATCGGTGCCAGAAAAAGCTGCACAAGACTGTTAAATTACAGGAAGAGAAAACAGAAGGAAACACATGGAGTTGCTTTGCTGAATATGTCTATTTTAGATTTGACATTATTAATGCTTCTTATATTCTCTGGCTCACCATAGACCAGTCAATTCCATTTTCATTTCACCTGTTGTACCCCAATTAACCCACAAGTGAATATAGGAAAATCACACCTCTTTGGTATGTATTTATAAGAGTACTGTAGGTGAGCTAAGCTGACAGTCCTTTATTGCCAAAAGAGTCTAAATTATTGAGTCAGAGGAATTATTAAATAGTATCCTACCTGTGAGTGAAACTAATATAACATTACTAAATACATGGCTACGGTTGGTGAACTCAGCTATTTGCACAGTACTGTTTCCACATATTCCAAATGTGCATATCACAGAAAGGTGGAGCTGGAAGGGACCCCTGTAGGTTGGCTGGTCCAGCCCCTGCTGCTCCAAGCAGGGTCACCCAGAGCAGGTTGCTCAGAGCCATGCACAATTTGGCTGAGGCTCCACCACTGCTCCAAGCACCCTGTGCCGCTGCTCCGCCACCCTCACAGTGTTGGCTGATGCTCACACAGGACCTCCTGTGTTTCCACTTCTGCCCATTGCCTCTGGTTCTGCCACTGGGCCCCACTGAGAAGAGCCTCTTGCATCAGTGCACACAGATAAGATCAGCTTGAGCCTTCTAGAGCCTAAACAGGCTCAGCTGCCTCAGCTCTCCTCAAGAATCTGATAAGAAATGAGCAAGGAAAAGGACAAGAGACTAAAATAGGATGACAGGGAAAAGATACTTGTCCTTACTTAGACTTTCTATACTGAAATAGCATTTTTCTTCTTCCTGGTTCACTTGGCCCCTGCATGTGTTTAAAATCCAAATTTGCAACTGTAAGACACTTCATAAAAAAAAAAACCAGACAAAAAAAAAAAAAAAAAAACAACAACAACAAAAAAAAAACCCACCCATCCCCAACAACAACAAATAAGAAGCAGCTCAAGATATTTATCTATGGTATGATACAAATGTTTGAAAAGTAGTAGTGCTTTGCTTCTAAAATTCCTTTCTAAACGGCCTGGTAGTACTCCATGGACCACCAGTGGTCTGTGAATCATTACTTGAGAAATACTTACAGAATATCTGTTAGGAAAATTCACATACACAGGTTTTCCCATCTGGAAACAATAAACAAATGCACCAGCCTGGCAAAAATGAAGTTTACTATGTTAATGCTTAATGAGATGAGAAGACTTCATAAAGTAAAGGTCCTGTGTATTTGTAATATACAGTATGCAATGATTCACTGTAGTGATTTTCCCTGTCCTTAACACAGACATGAAAAATAACAGCATAAAACCACAGATTTTGTCCTCTTTGAAAGTGTTAAAATCTTAAGTATTTTAAATCTTTATCTCCATCAGATGGATTTATACATTTTTGCTAATTCCTGAGTCTTCTAATCTACACAGTAGTCCTAAAGCCTTGATAGGAAGAACTTGACTATACTACAACAATTCTGGGTTGTTATTTAATATTGCTTATGAACCTTCCAATTTAAACCCCACATTTAAAAATGGCCTTTCAATATTTTAAAAATGCCCTTATGTCTGTTATTGATTAGTGTTTATGTAAAATCCAATCCAACATCCATTGTGACCAATTCAGATATTGCCGGAATAGTGTATTTTGAATTGATGCATTTATAATGATTTTTTTTGCATCTGTTAAGCATTCCCTCACTGTCAAAGCACTTAAGCACCACTTAAGTAATCAAGGTAATTTAGTGATTCCATTAACTCAGATGACATACATTTTCTGTAAGAAAAGTAAGACAATTAAAAAGTGTTCATAATCTCACTGCTACTCCTCCAGTCCACCTTCTAGCAATGAAGTACAGAGAGGGGTAGAGAAAATTCTGTTGTGCGGGACCTTTTGTAACCATTTTCCCAAACAAGTTACTAACTTTAAAAACTGGTGTTGCTGCAGCTTTTATTTCCTCCCTTGCTACTATTTCTTCCTTACTCACCTCCTCCACCTTTCCATAGAGTATAATTATGATCCAAGAGAAAAATATGGAAACAAATCCACTGAAACAGACAAATTTCCATCTCAGATCCATGAAGCTGAGGTGAAACAAAGAAAAGAGCAATGTGACAGTGAAGAAAACTATTTAACTAGCTAATAAACAAACTGCAGTTTGGAAACTAAGAACAATGCTAACTGCACATTTAATGTTAATATCTCAAACTTAGTTAAAAATTGTCTCAACAGTGGTTCAACAGCTGCTCCTCAGGGCATCATCTCTTCGGCTGTTCCTCCTTGTACACAAGACCAGCAGGATGATGATTCACCAGCTGCTAATGCACAACTTCAGCAAAATGACAGCTGCCTGACTCCTCCACCTCCCACCCCAGAAGGTCAGCAGGAGTGTCCCAAACCCACTTCTTCTAAGGTGGAGTCTCAACTCGCCAGCAGCTCACCAGCGCCCTCTCCCAGCCAGGGCTGTGGACAGGATCTCAGGAATTCAGACAAGGAATAACAGGTGTTTCATTCCAGCTCATGTGCTCAACGGAGATTAAGAATCAGTATAAGATTAAAAAATAAATAATATCTAAATTGTAGTAGAAGTATGGTAGTGTCCAAAACGGACAGAGATAGAAGCCTGAGAACTTTTTTCTCAAACAAAAATCCCATAGTCTAGGAAAAAATTGAAGGCATATTAATATATTTGAATTTAAGATGTTATAAGATATATGCATGTTATGCAGTAATTAAAACTTGTACTGAAGAATACAAGTAGAGTTCCCCTTAGTTAGAAAAAAGCATTATTTAAAGTACTACCAAAAGAATATGTATGAGGACCCATAATTCCCCTTGCTTTCACCTTGACAGCTGAGGGAAATCTGCTTAACTGATCAAAGAAAGTTATTGTATATTAATGCAAAAAAAGATATAATGATATGGGGAGAAAATAGAAAGATCTCCTAGTGAAATGAAGACTGGGGCCAGCACAGGAGTAGAAAGCACAGGGCCCCATGAGCAAAGAAGAAATTAAATAGATGTTTAAGGCTGTTACTAACTTAGAAAACAAAATAACTTTCTTAGGCCAATGGAACTACAACTTTAAAGATATCCACAGGAAAGAAGCAGTTACTTTTTAACCTCTCAAAGTAGGAAAGGCAATGGAAGCAGCCATGTTCCTTTGTAGCTCAGGGAAGAGTCCTCCAGGAGAACCTGTTTAGTTATGGTAGCCATTCTCTTACGGGGATTCTGCTGCTGGTACTCTGCTGGTTCGGCTGCTCTTACTGCCTCTCCTTCCCTGACCATCAGGTCCATGGGATAAGGGTGCCTGGTCCCTTCAGTGGGGAAATAGAGGACACTTCAGCAGGAGTAACTAGTAAAGTGCAGAGTTGTCAGCTTCTACTCCCTGTGTTTTGATTTTGGTATGCTACCCCTTGCTGAGAGAAAAGGTGGACAGGCAGAAAATTCCTCATGGGACAAGAAAAATCCCAGTATCTGGGAAGTTGACCTTGAGATCTGACACCACTTCTTCCAGGAAGCAGCTGGCAGTCACACAAACTCTATAACAGCCTTAGGAGGAGGAGTGGAAGATACAGGCTCCCCGGGGCAGTGGTCACAGCACCAGACCTGACAGAGTTCAAGAAGTGTTTGGACAATGCTCTCGGGCACATGGTGTGACTCTTGGGGTGTCCTGCACAGGGCCAGGGGTTGGATTAGATGATCCCGATGGGTCCCTTCCAACTCAGAATATTCTGTGGTTTTATGATATTTTTCCTTGGTGACTGATTTCAGGTTTCCAGCATGCTGACATAGGAAGGAGAGAACGCTTGGGACTATGGCTTTCCTGTTTGAGTGTACTTCTCCCAGAACTGAAAGTACTATTAGCTGAATCTATGTCAAACATGGCAAACAAGCAACTAACAAATCAGACTGGAAAAATGAAGTGACATTAAGTGGAAGAAATCTAGCTTGATTTAAGGAAGATTTCAGGACATCTGAGTTACAGAAATAAAATAGAAATAATATAACACTTAAAAAAAATCTGAAGATAAGGTTATCAGCCAAATACTGTTGAAGGGAAGTGCTGCAAATCTAACTGTTCTAGAGCAAGGCACTAATAGAATGCACTGTGGAGAAGACTTGTTTGTGAGCTGGGGTACAAATTAAGTGATTTGCTATCCTTTTTCATCTCTCACCTAACAATTCCTTGTAGATAGGATCAGGATGAAAGCATGTATGAAATATTTTAGTTCTATCTCATGCTATTAACTACCATCTATAAAATGTAACAGAAGGAAATTTACTATTATGTAAATTTTGTATATCTAATTGTATGTACAGCATATATAATAATGTATATAGTTAATCATATTTTTGAAGTGACTTTCTATCAAATAAAATGAAATATTACTACACCTTAGTGCAGTTTTATTGTTCTCAATGTCTATTGGGCCTTCTCTTACATCAGCCTATGGTACACTCAAACGTACAAAGTCGGAATCTTTCTCTCACTCATTTTTTGGGTTTTCTTTCTCTTTAATAATTGTTCTGAAGCTAGCTTCTGTAAAGCTCATCATTTTACCTGGGGAAGGAGTTGGCCCACCTTACAAAGGCACTCTAAGCTCACAGCTGTCACAGCTGATGTCGCACAGCTGCAGCTGCTCTGCCCTTCGGGAGGTGTTGAAGCTCTTGGGCAGGTAGATGGGGCTGAAGGTGAGCAGCTGCTCTCCCTGTGGCTGGTGCAGCACTGCAGATCCTGCTGCACTTTGTGCTTTTCTATTCTGCTGCCTTGGTGAGTTGTCAAAGGAAAACCAATGGGGCTGGCAGCTCACTACAAAGGGTGTAGGAGGAGTTTCATGGTAGGGTGGAGGACCTGCTCCCAGGCATGAGCCAGGGAGATGGGTATTCTGGACAAAATGAACAACAAATGGAAGGAGATATTTTAATGCGGTAACAAAGGACAAGAAGTGAGCAAGCTGGAAAAAGACCTCCTCCTACTAAAGTATAGAAACAATGCTATCCCTCTGGATGAAAGAAATAGCTGTTATACAACTATACCATTAACAAAAGGGCCATGTATCTTGCAGTACAACCAGAAAGGTACAAAATAAAACTGTTTTTTTTTTTTTTCAAAATTACCCTGACAAACTCTGATAATACAAAATTGAAGACTAGATAATCACAGGTTAGAAACTTCAAAAGGAATAGAAAGGGACATCAGATCAGTGTAATGATGGTAATTCTGCTTCTCCAAAAATTTGCATTAAAGTAAAAATTAATTTGTTATAGGTAAATGTGTGATGTTCTGAAGTGTAAAATTCTGATATGAGCAACAGAGGGTACATTATTTGCAGTCCTCAGAATGGGAGAAGATTGATGGCTGCTACAGAAGCTGTAGTAGTGACATTAGACTGTATGGCATTTAGTAACTGGAGATTTACTACTGAAAAGGTAAGCAATACTAAAACTAATAATTTGAACTATTTATTCATATTACTGTATATTAGATTGAATTTGAAGGTTAGCATGGAAAAAAAATTTGGTAACTGTTTATCATGAAGTGGTCAGAAAAGTGCTTGTTTTCTAAGACAGGAGGAATATTGAGATATGTGAAGAATTGGATAAAAGCTTTACTGAAAAAATATACTGTTTAATGAATCAAGGAGTTAAATGCATGTCGAGTTCATGTCCCCTGTTATTAGGGTATATAGATAGGAGTAAAAAAACCAAAACCAATAGATATCTGAGTTTTCTAGATCAAGAGTAAGTGGCACTATGCCATGTTGATACAAGAGGGAAATCAATGGTTATAAAGGCAATCAGTGTTTCACTTAAAGGGAGCAAGGAGAGAAGCAAGAATGTTGAAATATGTTTGAAAAATATATTTGAATTAGAATCATAGAATTGTTCAAGTTGGAAGAGACCTTAAAGATCATTTAGTTCCAACTCCCCTGTCGTGGGCAGAGACATCTTCCCCTACCCCAGGCTGCTCAAAGCCCCATCCAACACTTACAGGGATAGAACATCCACAATTTTTCTGGGCAACCTGTTCCAGTGCCTTACCACCTTCACAGTAAGGCATTTCTTCCTAATAATATTTTATCTAAACCTACTCTATAATTAAGGGCATATAGTGAATACGTGGAATTAGCTTCTAGAGAGCATTACTAAGTTTATAAAGATCGTCTGCTCTGAAACAGCTTCCACAATCTATGTGATATCTAGACTTCATTTGAGCTTTGGACTTGGAGATCTCATGAAGATCTAACAAAAACCCCTGCTCCTTCTTACCTAATCTCCCCTACGCTCCCCAGCAAGTTCTGCATAAGAACACCCCTAAGCTGGCCCAAAGCCTGACAACTGTTCTTTCACAGGAATTAGATGAAATACACAAATTTTGGAATTCAGAATTTTGTTAGCATATTGTAAATTATTGCATGGCAACTCCATTACTATTTTTTTTCCATAACTGTATTGTTTACATACAAGGAGGAAATTTGGACTGGTCATTGCAAGGGTAAACATTTACATGAATGACTACTGAAAAATTCATATTTAATTGAGCATCATTTGCATAGAGTCTCAGAGTTTGGAAATACAATTCCATCATGCTGCCCTAGTAACTTTTTACTACAGGTTGTTATATTATCTATTCTCAAGAATCAAAAGTTATTAAGTGCAAATACAAGCTACAAACAGAATGACTGCTATCAATTTTCTGTTAGCAAATTCAAGTTACTAATGCAAAATATTAAAGTTAAGGCAGCAACAATGACTTTCCAAGTGACAGTCAGGTTTCCATTATTTTAATAATGAAATAAAAGTAGACAAATGAGTGTAGTTTATATACTCCAACAAGAGTGATTAAGTCGTACAGCTGTTGAGGATATAACTAGTAGATATAACAAGCAGCTCAGTATGTCTATCTTCTACCATAGAGCTGTTTTTACATTCACATGGAAAGAGGCTTAAAACTAACACTAGTAACTCTGTGTTTTCAAGAAAAATAAATGCACTAATTAATCCCTACACAATATTATATTATATTGCTGATAGTTGTTTATTCTCTTGCATAACACCAAAATTTAACAAGCAGCCTTGAATTCTTTCTCTCCTGTGTCTACAGGATTTGATAAGCACACACCAGTGAAGTGCTTTGCAGGTGTGCAAGCAGCTCTTTTATACTGATACACCACTCACAGGTGACATTTACACTATTCAGTTTACTCAAAGTCAATGCATTGAGTAAAGATGACTCATACTGATTTTTACTTTGGTGGCAAAAAGTAGCTATATGAACAAGCAGGAGAGCAGTTGCAGATAAATAGCAAGAATCATGGGTGTGGGGGTCTGAGTGATGTTTTCTCAATCCTAGCAGTGAGGGGGCACAGATAGGACAAGTCAATACTTGTTGGCAGAACTTGTGTTGGTGACAAGGATTTGAGTTGTATGACCATGAGACCCTGCTTGCAAATCACGTTCTGCTTGACAGAGATGAGATCCACCTCTCTAAGCAGGGCAAAGCTATTTTTACCATTAGGATTATGACCATGTAAGCAGAGATTGAAAGTAATAATTAAGCAAGAAAGTAACCAGCAGCCTTGTGGGGTGCGGTGGTGTGTCTCTTCTTTAATTTGATATTTGTTCAATGTCTGTTCCCCCCATCCCTAATCTCCACCTCTCCCCAGTTGTCAGTCTTCCCTAGCTCTTCCCTAACCCCTCATCTCTAAGTTGTCAATCCTCCCTTTCCCTACCCCTTTCCCTAGAACCTTCTCTGTCATTCCTCCTAGCCCCCTCCACTGCTTCCAGAGCGTTCCCTGTCTATTTAGTGAGGCTCGACACCCTACTGCTTATTTTGTGTTATTCCACTCCCCTGCTTCCCCTGATAGGTTTGTGATATGTTAGTTTTGCCCTAAACTCCTCCCCTACTATTCCCTTATTGGTTACTGTTCCTACACCCGTCTTCCTGAGTTCTTGTATAAAACCTTTGCCCCCCCCTCCCAAGGGGGTCTTGGGGCTCACTGAATAAAACCATCCTGTTCATCCCCAAGTCCCATGTCGCCTCCGTCTGTTCCCTCACCACCAACTGGGACTGCAGAGTTCATAGGGGGAGCGGCCGCCCGTTCTCTTCCCTCTCGCAGCCCAGCACAGCACCGCTCAGGGTGCCGCAGCAAGAAGAGTTTACAGCGATGCAACAGTGGGGAATCGATGGACACTGAAAAAAGTAAAGGGCATAAGGTGATATGGGAGAAAGAGAACACAAAATCAGGAAGATGGAGCTTAGGAGAGATCACCTTCAGCTCTTGAATGTAAGCAAAGAAATGTCTATGAGACACCATAATGGAGAAATCTCCCAGGTCCTTTCCTAGATAGGAGCAGCCTTGTATTTGTAAGCCCTTGTACTAATGTGGGAGTTCAACCATTCAGATATTTGCTGGAGGGACAATACAGCAGGACATAAGTAATCCAGGAGGTTTCTGGTCATAAAGGAGTCAACAAGGACCAAGAATGAACAATGCTTTGTTGGACCTGTACCCATGAAGGGACTGTGGGAAATGTAAAGCTCAAGGCAACCTTGGCCACAGTGAACATGAGATGGTGGAGCTCCGGATCCTGAGGGGAGGGTGAAGAATAAAAAACAGGCTCATCACTCTGGAGAGTGAATTTTGGTATCTTCAAAGATCTGCCTGGAAGAGTCCCATGAGATATAGCCCTGGAGGCAAGAGGGGCCCAAGAAAGCTGGTTAATATTTATGGATAACTTCCTCCAAGCACAGGAACAGTTTATCCTTGTGAACAGGAAGTTAGGCAAAAATGCCACTACGTAGATGAACAAGGAATTCCTGGTCAAGCTCTAACACAAACAGGAAGCATATAAAGCATGGAAGCAAGGATGGCTTATCTCAGAGAAATACAGAAACATTGCTCAAGCATAGAGTGATGAAGTTAGGAAAGATAAGGCACGACTAGAATTGGACCTAGCTAGGGATGTCAAAGACATCAAGAACGGCTTCTGGAAGAACATACGTGACAAAAGGAAGACAAAGGAAAATGTAGGCCCATTGATAAATGAGACAGATGATATAGTGACACAGTACATGCCTCAGTCTTCACTACCAAGACCGGCCTTCAGGGATTCAGGCTCCAAAAATCAGGGGGAAGGGCTGGACCAAGGAAGATGTACATTTGGTGGGAGAGGATCAAGACAGGGAATATATACACACCTTAGCAAGATGGGCATATGCATGCTAAATCTATGGGCCCTGACAGGATATGCAGCAACAGGTGCTGAGGGTGCTGACAGATGTCATGGCAAGATCACTCTCAATTATCTTTCATGGGTCATGGGGTCTGGGACTGATGCCTGAGGCTGGAGGAAAGAAAATATCACCTCCATCTTCAAGAAGGGCAGGAAAGAGGAAAGCAGGAAGAACCACAAGCCAGTCAGCCTCATCCTGATCCCTGGGAAAGTAATGAAACAGCCATTCCCAAAAACTATCTCCAGGTATCTCAGTGACAAGAAAATCATTGTGCTGTCAGTATGGCTTTACCAAGGGGAAACCAGGCTTGACCAGATTGACAAACTTGTGTGATAAATTGACTTCCCTGGTAGATGAGTGGAGCAACGACCATTGTGTATCTGGACTTCACCACTGCCCTTGGCAACAACGCCTCCCGCAAGATTTTCGCAAAGGACGTTCGCAGATGCCCGGGCTGGACCGAGCCCCGTGTGAGGTGGCTGGGGCTGGCCGGCTGAGCAGGCACAGCACGGCAGCGCCACTGCGGCCCGGCCCGACCCGGAGAGGCGACTCTGCCGCCTTCCCGCCCCTCGGCTGCCAGCCCCAGCAGCCGCCCTTCCTCCTCCCCGGAAGCGGAGAGCGGGTTTTCCCGCGCCGGGCCGGAACTCGATGCAGCGCATCTGGAGGCGGGCGAGGGGAGAAGGGAAGAAGGAGAGGGCCCAGAAGAAGGGAAGAGCCCGGCGCGCCGGCCCGGGAGGCCGCGCCATGGCGCTGCCGCGGTAGCGCCGGCACTGCCATGGGGAACGCGGGGCGCGGCGGCGGCACCTCCCGATCCCGGCGAGCCGTGCCGCGGCCTGGCCCCGCCCCCGGGCCGCAGGGGAAGCGGGGACGCGGCGGGTCGGGCCTGTGCTGCCCGCGGGGCCCGGCGGGTGAGCGGGGCCGGGGCGGGCCGCGGGCCGGCGGTTGCAGCGCAGCGGTCGCGGCGGGGCCCGGCGAGCCGCGGCTCGGGCAGCGCGGCGTGCGGAGCCGTGCGGAACCGTGTGCCGCCCGCGGAGCCGTGCGGAGCCGTGAGGAGCCGTGTGCCGCCCGCGGAGCCGTGTGCCGCGGGCCCTGCGGGGCGGGGGCGTGAGTCAGCAGCGCAGCCCCCGCCGTTGCTTTGGAGCAGGAAGCTCGGCCCTGCGCCGCGCTCCTGGAGCGGCCCGCTGCAGCCGCAGCTGCTGAAAACGCCCGAGCTCGCCCGCAGCTGTTACGGGCCGGCCTCGGCTCGGCGGTCCGCTAGGCTGGAGCTCGGGTCTCGGCTCTTGCTGGGGTTTCAGGTTCAGGCATGTCCTTGGGCTGCTACACTGCAGCTACGGCTGCTGGAGGAGTGTAGGTATTGGTATGCTTTGTAGATAAAACCACGTTTTACAGATTAAAAATGGAGTAGTGTGATTCCAGTCAGAGTTGTTTATCACCACTTGTGTCACTGGTAATTGGGAGTGAATGATAGAGACTTGTTGAATACAGATAGACTGCAAAGCCAAATAAGGCGTAAAATGGAAAATACTGTTTAGTTAAATGAAACTTAAAAAGTGAAATTCTATAGTATATTTTGTTTCTGTTTAGATAATGGAATCTCATAACTCTGACAGCCTTCACAAGAGTAAATCACCAGCTTCGGGAAGTGAAGATGAGATTGAGTTCATTGGAGTAAGTAGACCTTGTACTGGAAATATACTGCTTGTTGTAAAAAATACACTTTCAGTAGTCCAGTAAACAGGAGAGGGGTCTTCATTGACTCTGTTGATGATGATTATCTTTTGATGTAAAGCATTACTCTTGAATATACAGATAATTTCATTTGTGAATGTTTATGGCAGATACAACTCCATCTTAAAGGAGTTTATATGCCCTTTCTTGGAAGGGTGTAAAATGATGTCATTGGCTCTGTAGAGAAAATGTGGTCATAAATCATTGCTCATTCTGCAAATCAATGTTGAAATCAATGTACTCAATGTAGAAGAGGAAGGAAATACTAGGTTAGAGGCCTTAAACAATGCTCTCAAATTGTGAGGCAGTCTATTGTACAACACTTAGTCTAATGCTGGCATGCTTTATGTGACCACGAGACACTTGTATCTGTTGAATATCCAAGAGAAGCAGAATGTTTTTCATGCTGTCTGTGTTCTGGCCTCAATCTGGCATCATTGAAGTGGTGCTGGATGGCAGGATTACATGGAATTATAGAATTGTTTAGGTTGGAAAAGACCATTAAGATCATTTTCTGCCGCTGCAAAGCTGAAGCCCCCTGGCTTCACCTGCCTGGCAGAGGCACAGTTAGCTGCAGGGGTCACTCCCCTGTGTCTCGAGGAGAGTCAGGGAGCAGCTAAGGCAGAAAGTCACACTTCCTGCCTTGTTTGGAGGAGAGGCAGCATTTGGAGGAGATAATGAGTGGCATGATTTAAGGCTGGGGAAACAGTTTCAGGTTTAATCCAGGCTCCGGTAGAAGATTCGGGAAGAATGGGTTGGGGAGCTGAGAGTGATGGATCAGGTACCAGGGAGTGGAGGGGGAAGTGACTAAGCATTGTCAGGGAGATTGGCACTGAGAGAACGGCAGGAAAACTTGGGGTGGAAACACAGGGAGAAAGTGGGGAGTGGAGGGACAAACCATTACAGAACTGTTACAGAAATATAAAAACACAATACAACAATCATTGAGTCCAGCCATTAACCCAGCACAAAACCATGTCCCTAGGAGCCACATCTAAAGATGTTTTTCTTGAAGGAACAAGTCATATTGCTACTGGTATTCACTGATGCCAGTATTTTTAGTGGCTGGTTTTTTTGTAGATTTGTCTCATTTTTGAACAATATGCTGAAGAATTACTAGATTCCCCCCCATTTTGTATGGTGTTTGCAGAAAAAGTCTGTATGTTGAACTTCAGCTTTAATCAGAGGTATTTAGGAGCTCTGGTATGAAGGATAGGGACTTTTTTGCAAAAGTTATAAGCAGTTTGTTATTTCTGAGATGTCTTAATATTTTGGTTGATTTAGGCAAAATTGATTGAGTTCAAAGTTCATTATATACACACAAGTATTCATGTGCATCTGCAGAGGAGGTCTTTGGGTTGTTAGTGGATGAGCTGGCAATGTGTGCCTGCAACCCAGAAGTTCGAGTGTGTCCTGGGCTGTGCCAAAAGCAGCGTGGCTAGCAGGGTGAGGGAGAGGATCCTGCTGCAGTGATCCTGCTGCAGTCTCTGGTGAGACCCCACCTACAGTTCTCATCCAGCTCAGGGGTCCTCAGCATAGGAAGGAGATCAATCTGTTGGAATGAGTGTGGAGGAGGGACACCAAGATAATGAGAGGGGTGGAACACCTCTCCTGTGAGGAAGGACAAAGAGAATTGGGATTGTACAGTCTGGAAAAGAGAAGGCTTCAGGATGACCTAATTGCAGCTTTCCAGCACCTGGAGGGAGCCTACAGAAAAGATGGAGAGGGGCTTCTAACAAGAGCATATAGTGAGAGGACAGGGAGGAATGGCTTCAGACTAAGAGTATGTTTAGATTAGATATTAGGAAGAAATTGTTTTCTGTGAGGGTGGTGAGATACTGGAACAGGTTGCCCAGGTAAGTTCTGGATGCCCCCTATTCCTGGGAGTGTCCAAGGGCTGGGCTGGAGGGAGCTTTGAGTAGTCTGGTCTAGTGGAATATGTCCCTGCCTATGGCAAGGGGGTTGGGAGGTTGGGACAAGATGATCTTCCAAACCCTTCTGTCATTCTGTGATCATGACTGAATAAGCTTCATTTTCTTCAAACTGGGCAATGAATGAACAAGCTTAGAAAGTGTAAGGATTGAAGGGCTGCTGGAGCACCAAGAGCAGTAACTGAAAGAGAACTTAAAGAAACTAAAATCAACACTTCTAGCTACTTTTTTTTTTTTTCCTTTGGCTTTGCCTTTGGATAATAGGAATCCTTTGTGGTCCCAGTGGCTAGTGCTTCCAAGAGAGGCTGCTATATATAGGAAGATGACTCTGCTTAATTTTTTGTAGGATTTATATCCTGGGGTGAGTAGCTTACTATTGTAATTGATGAATATGAGGGGAAAGGTGTGTGACCCTGGCCATCACCTAACATCAGCAATATGTCTTCAGATCTCATTTGCTCCTCTGAGTGAAGGTGACTTTGGGCTTTGCAAAAGGATTTCTAGACTGCTTGCAAGCTTTAGATCATCATTTCTGTATAATAATGTGTATGACTGGAAACTTACACTTTTCATAATTATTATGGATGGTTGCCTCCTGATTATCTACATATCTTTAAAACCCAGTGTACAAGATGGTACTGTATAAATTGAATTAGAGAAGCTTCTGGGGTGTCCCAGCCTGTGCTCATTTTGATAGATAACAAGCAGCTAGGCCATGTAATCTGTGTTTTTCTTCCTTTTTCTCTTTTCCTCTTGACAGCCAGATGTAGCTGACTGGTGTGGGTTTTTTGTTTCTTTGATCAATTTTTCTTTGTGGTTTTGGGGTGATTTTTTCCTATGTTATTCACTTGTACTGGGGTGTTTGAATTCATACTGTAGGACTGTGCTTTTGCTCCATCAGATAAGGAGTTCTTGTCAATCTGCTGCTGCCAGAGATTTTCAGCTTTTGTAGTCTGAATCACCCTCATTCAAAAAAACTTAAAATTATTCTTCCATAATTTTCCACATATTCCACAAAACATATTCTGTCCACTTAAAGTTACTACATTTTAGGCTTTACATACGACCAGAGAAATACAATTTAATCTACAGCGTGAGCTGTTACTCCTGTATTCTTAACATAGGATGATCTTGTCCCCATTTTGCTTACTTGGGACAGATAAGGCAAGAGTGAAGAAATTCACAATTGTAATGCCCTGTGAACAAATAGATAATTCAAGTTGCCATAGTTGGCACCAAAAGCATTGGACTTAGAGGAGAATTAGTTACTATACCAAATCAAGTAATGCACTAAAACATGGTAGCTACCAATATAAGATTTTGTTTCCTTTACCTCTGTGGTGTTAAATATTGGATTTTTAGAATGAAGTTTTTGTCTCTTTGGCTTTTAATTGCAGCACAGCAGGAACTGATAAAATGGTAGTGGTGTTAGGAAGCAACTCTTATTTCTGCACCCATCCAAAGTCAGCCAGGGACTTGAATTTCTGTATTTGCTAGGTTATAAAGTCAAAATTTATTAAGTGTGTGTTGGTTCACAGTGTTGGTCAGTTCTTAGCAGTCCAGCTTTTAAAAGTTAACTTCCAGCTTTTACAAGTTGGAAGTCTGCTGGGACACAGATTTAGAGTACAAATAGTACAACTTGTGTTAATTTTTAAAAATTTACTTTAATGTAAACTTGTTCTGTGATAGTAATATTTTTGCATGTGTATACACAATTATGCTCACATAATTATTTGTCAAAGATAAGTTTGTGGTCACATACATGAAAGCTAGATACATATTTTCTGTATGCTAGTTTGTGTATAATTATGCAGAAGTTTATTTGTGCTGTTTAAAGTGGGCATTTGGTCTGAATGCACATAAAGCTAAAACAACAAACAAAACACCTTGCTTGGTGTCAGTGGACAAAATGTCTGTTAGCTAGGCCAGATCACCCACAAATGGAGTGAAATGAGGAAGGGCATGAAAGAGAAACCACTGTTTAGGGGGTTCAGAGAAAACTTTGGGATAAAACTGAGCTTCACAGAACTCCTTGAGAAAAAACTCTCCTTGGATATCCATGAGGCTTCATTCCTCTTCAGTCACCAGCTTTTCATTCATTTACCAGTCACCAGTTAAACAAATATGATTGTATTAACAGTTAAACTGAGTATTTTGCATAGCATAGTGATATTACAGTTCTGTTGATGCATCCAGGCAAAGCTGTGAATAACAGTAGAGATGCCACAGCTGTCTGGAGAATCAATAACCTAGAAATTCTGCTCACAGAAGTAACTGTTGTTTGTTTGTTGCTCAGTGGCATGGCTGTTGGTTTGTGAGAGGAATGACTTTTGAGGATTGTTTAGGGAAGTAATGTAGAAGTGGATCATGTTGGGCGTTTGGGAGATTTTTTTTTTAGGTTGGTTGTTTTTTTGGTTGGTTGCTTTTTTGGGGGAGGGGGTTGGGGTTTTTTTTGTTTGTTATTTGCTGGGGTTTTTTTCTTCAAGTGTGAAAGATCTGCTGATCAGATGTGAAGAGTTAAGCATATCTTAGTGCTGGTACATACAAATACTTTTATGTCTTTCTGGGTGCCAAGTATGCCACTATAGTCAGTTAGGGAGGCCCCAGCTTTCAGCTTTTCAAGGAGAACTTGTCCATACTGTGTTTTTGAAATTGCAGACTGTTGTCAAGATTTACTCCCCCACTCATCCAGCAGGGAATTTACAACAGGTAGGATGAATCTCTTTGATCCTCAGCTTCTTAGCTCTCTTATAGTGAGAAATTCTCAGGGTTGGTACTATCTTTACATTACTCTTTAAAGAATCTGGAAAATAAAGTAATTAAAACTCTCATAACTTTCAGTTTGGGGCTTGTCTTGTGTGGAGGTAAACAGTACACAAAAACTGCATAGAAAAAGGCACAGATTTTGAAAGGAAAAAGACTATTTCATGTGCACAGAAAACATTTAAACAAGTGTGATCCTACTTGTGTTAAATTTATTGTTTTGATCACTTGATCTTCTAGGTTTGAAAGCAAGTTACTCTGCATTTTAGCTGTCAGTTTTTTGTGTTTTCATTAGTTGTTGAGCCCTGAGAGTAAGTGAACACAAATAAGAAAAATCTCTCCCCTTGATGAAGCTGTTAGGATCAGAGCTGAACATTTCAAAACACATTATTGAACTGATTAGACAGTCAGATGGTCAGAGTGTGTCTTTGAACTCTTACTTGCTAACACCTGTTTAAGGAAGGTTTAATTTCTTAAAAGCATTGCAGAGACTGTTAGTTTCTACAGAAGCAAATCTGCATTTTTTTGCATCTGGATTTTTTTTTTCTATTTCATTTAGAAAATCATGATATCTTTATTTAACCATAAAGAGTTACTCTTTGTGGGTAATTGGAGGCTGGCAGCTTGGTTCATAGAAGCTTTTGTCATCTGTGCAAGATTTCATCCCTCTTCTCCCCAGTGAGACAAAGGACTGTTCATGCCTGGCCAGCTGAACAGCTTTACTGCCTTGAAAGGTGGAAGAATGTAAATAATGAGATTCATTAAGAGCAGCAGAGAAGACTCCATGCTGCTTTTCTCTCTGCTACTCATCATGAGGCAATAGGTCTTCCTAGCTTGCCCTACATAGTTGGTTGTTGATATCTTGAAGAGATATATGCCAATATATGGAAGAGATGGTACATTTTATCTCTAAGGAAGACAATTTAATGCTTTTGTGTGAGCGTTTTTGACACTTTTTTTTCCAGGAAGGACCTTTAAGGCCTGTCCTTGAATGCATTGATCTTGTCAGCAGTGAGGATGAAGAACCTAACAGTAGTTCTTATTTTCATGTGAGTAATGTTATAATGTATTTTAGAACATCTTGGCTGAATAAAATAATTGGTCTTCTGTATTTTTTCCTATCATGTTACTCTTCACAAAAGCCTCGTTAGATGTATTTTTAACAAGTGCTAAATAACCAGTATTGAAATATTTTGATTTTTCTACTTGCTGTTGAGTGAAAAGCAAAAATACTTAACTTTTTCCACAGCCATTTTTTCTGCCTTGAAATGACTTGGTACTTGTATTTGTCTTTCAGTCATCTGAACAAGTGTATGGAAATAAAATGTCACTTTACATGCAGCCTTGGAAGTTGCGGTTTCTATCCTGAAAATATACCTGGTCTACTACAAGGCCTTTTCTTTCTAAAATAACTTTTTAGGAACAATTTGTGGATTGAATGACCTTATTCCAGTGACAGTCTGGGTTTAGCTCAGCCTAATACTTCCTAATCCATTCTAAGAATGTACAAGTCAGAAGCAGGCTTATCAGTTTATCTATCCCCCAAGCTGATTCTGTCTTGAAAGGGACAATGAGAGACCCTACTAGAGTTGATTTTGGCAGCAGTGACTGTATTTTGACTTTTGCTTTTTGTGTGTTGCAGCAGAGGATGTTTGTAATAAACCTGATTCTTAAGGAAAGGTGATCTTCTGTACACGCACAGGCTGTCATTACAGGGATCATTACTAGAGCTGACTGTAAAAAGAGGAAACTACAGTATATGGCCTATCCCTAAGGCTAGAAAAAGCTCATTATCTGCCTTTTTGAAGACAGTGGGCAGCATTAGGCAAAAATTGTAACCGTTTTCAGATTTTTTAGATGGGCTGCATGTTGGCTTTGAAGTCAGGAGGGATTTTGTTTACTTGGAAGAACTTAAGTTTTCATTTGTTTGGAGACTTTTAGGACACAGCACAATCATGCATGTTCCCCTACTGCATGGTGAGGCTAATGTTTATGTTGAATTGCCTTGACTATGTGGAGGGGAGGGTTGTTTTTGTTTTTTTAACAGAAGCTACAGATGCTGGTAAAAAATAAGAGAAAGGTACAAGATAGCTCATGGAACTTAGGTTAAGAGTATATTTACTGAATTATGTCATGATGCTTGGGCACCACTTTTCACTGTTTTAGTGTCTGTTACATAACAATCACCAAATAAGACTTTAACCTTCCAATTTCAGAGAAATACTAAGCGTAAGGATCATGTTGACTATCAGAAGGAACGAGTTGCATCAACCCTGGATCGTCTGGCACGCCATGTTGAAGTAGAGAAACAGCAAAAAGAAGAGAAAAACAAAGCCTTTAAGGTATTGGATGTGTTTTATTTTGGAAGAATTGCATAATAAAGGCCTTGTAGTCACAAATATCTTTGTTTTCACTACTAATTAAATAAAAAAATGGGTGAGGCATACCTGGAAGTAGCAACTAGACTTCTACTCCTGGTGCCTCGTGTGAAGCACTACATGGACTTTGTCTTTTCAGTGGCTTTTAACTGATCAATTTTCTAGTCTTATTGCAGTTTCTAAGGGGGAAAATTAAATGAAAGAAAACCAATGGCAAAAACTTCTTCTCTTGTTTGTAGATATAGCAAATGAATCTTAGTATCTATTATTCTGATATTCTAATATTGCAATTAATTGAAAAATAACAGTTATCACAAACCACCATGCAGCAAGCCTTGCTATTTATCTGCTTTTGTCTGAGATTTTTGGGAAACACTTTGCTGCATTAAATCTGTATCAGGTAGTATTTCATAATGGTAAAAAATTTTCAGTGTTTAAGGCATAATTTTAAAGTTGAATCCTGTTAGTTGCACTTTGCAGCCGTTTGAAAAGAATATACTTTTTACTTTTATTATAGACTGGGAGATCCAGTCAGTAGGACTGCTCTCAGTGGGAGCTGGACATCTTGAAGGAATAGGGTTACAACAACTCTAATGGAATAGAACAGGGATAAATGTAAATCCAGAGTTGGCAAAATGTGCTGACTTCCCAGCCCAATTTCCTCAACATTGTTAAAGGCTTTTAAAATAACATAATTCTACTACAGTTATAGCTTGTTGCAGTCTGTGGTAAACTATGCAGCTGTAGTACAAGAGAGTAAAAGGCTAGATAGATAGAGTCCAAGGTAGCCTTGAAGTCTGGAGGCCTACATCCCCCTTCTGTCTCTTCCACTTTGAATTTGGCAATCTGTGTCTTCATATACAGTTCTTCAACTGTAAAGTCTAGTCAGAGATAACTGTGTAGCTTTTAAAGCAGCTTGAGAATGAAGGCTAAAAGATCCTTTTGTTAAATATGAATATTTTCCTTCTGCTTGGCTCTTCATTCTTCATCAGGTAATGGAATCTGCAGACTTAAGTTTAGTCTTCAAAGTTTTATTTTCTTTTTTTTTCTATTACATTCCATCTTTATTGCGTTAAATAAAAGTTGAGTTGTAAGAATATTTTTCCCCTCACTTAGGTTTTTATGGATGTGTTTTTTAGGAACCCATATGTAAATTTTGAGATACATACTTTTTTCTCTTTTTCTTTTATTCTTTCAATTTGATCACAACACTGTCTGGTATGTTTTTTCCCTTAGGAGAAAGTTGATTACCAATATGCTCACGGGTTGCAAGAACTAGAATTCATTCGGGGACACAGTGATACAGAAGCTGCAAGGTTATGTGTGGACCAGTGGTTAAAAATGCCAGGTAAGAGTAGAAAGCTAAGTTTGAGTGATGGTTTCTAAGTCCTGCATTACAGAGTAGAACGTGTGAAAGTTGTATTGAGCTTGCAGGTGCCTTGTGCATAACCAAATCCTACAATATTAATTTTGCTAGAGCATATGGTTTGAAAGTTTCTAAATGTTTATTTCCAAGAAAGCTATACTTGTAAAGCTTTGCTACTTAGAAAAGTCAAGATACAAAGTCTAAATTTTTTATAAGCCAAATTGCTAGGAAGAAAAAATACTACTGTTGAGCTGCTGCTTAGGAAAGTGTAAGTAAGTGTAACTTCACAATGTTTAATGAATTTAAAATACCATCTGGAGGACCTGGAGGAAGGATGTCAAACTCTTCAAAAAGTTGCACTACTGGGAATTGAAGAGACAGTGAAAGAGCAGACTTACTGTAGTAGGATTGAAGGATAGTGAGTAGATTGTTAGTTTGCTTTTAAGAATCACTACAGTTTGATTCTGGAATGTTTTAGGGCTTGTTTTCTTAAGCCTCTAATTGAGCTTCTGGTTAAGTACTTTGTTTTGGAACACAGGTCTGAAACCAGGCTCTGTTAACGGTGGAAGAAGGGCTGTTTTTAAAAGGACAGGTCAGACTCAAGTCAACAGCAGTCCCAAATGTTGTCCTGTGATGCATTGCAACAGACAGTTTGATAATGTACATCTTCTTCTAGGTCACCTTCAAAGGTAAGGAGATACATTGCAAGAATTCAGTGCAAGGAATAATAATGAAAGCATGTGCTCTAACGTAGGACATCAGCATCAAGTCTGCCTCAAACTGCCTGTACTGACAAAGCTTCATTTTGAGAGCCAGTTAATATGTTACAATTTGTATAGACTAGCTTCATGGGGTTTTTTTTGGATGATTTGGTTTAGTTTTTTACTTGGTGTGTGTGGTTTGTTTTTTTCATTCAGAACTGATGTCTTCCTCTTGTTGAGAATTTTTTAATATCTGAGTTTTTTTGAGAAGTCAGATTTCGGTACTCCAGATTATTTGTATCTTCATCCAAACTTGAAATAAACCAAATGGCCAACTTACACACATTGATGGTAAGATAAAAAGAAAAGCCCCTAACGCAGGGAAAGAGGAACAAAAGCTACAGGCTGTGTGTTCGTAGCTGATCTTGCTAGTCAGTACTCAGTGTGTCTGTGTTCAGTTCCAGCAGATACTGCCTTTTTATACTGAAGGTGTCCATAGGCAGGATGGTGAGATGTTGAGGAGAGTGTCATGGGTTAACCCCCATAGGCAGCTGAGCCCCACACAGCTGCTCACTCACTCACCCTGGTGGGATGTAGGGTAAAGGTGAGAAAACTCTGGGCTGAGGTAAAAACCATTTAATCAGTAAAGCAAAAACTGCACACACATGCGAAGCAAATTAAGGAATTGACAGGCAGAGGCTGTATCACGTGTGATAGTTACTTGGAGTGGTGGCATTTATCTTGCCAACTATCTCCTTCCTCCTCCACCCAACTTTCTTTGCTGAGCATGTCTTATGCTGTGGGATGTCCATTTGGCTGTTTGAGGTCAGTTGTCTCAGCTGTGTCTCCCAACATCTTCCTGGTGGGACAATCTGAAAAATATAGACCTTGACACTCTGCAAGCACTGCTCAGCAATAACTAAAAATTCCCTGTGCCATTAACACTGTTGTTCATAAATCCAAAACACAGCAAACATGCAAGCTGCTACAAAAAATGAACTCTATCCCAACGGAAGATAAAAATAAATAAATTATTAAAATGTCTATGTAGGAAATTAAGGCTTTGTTAGCTCTCTTAAAAGCAGTATGATTCCTCTCCAGAGTGGCTGTTTTAACATGTAAGCTGCAGGGAGAATCATCTCTGTACAGGACACTTCAACTGATGCATTTCATGATAGGAGAAGTAAGGAATTTTAATAGTTTAGATTGGTTAGATAGGTGATTTTTAGCTTAGTTTATAGTTTAGATTGGTTAGATAGGGGGTCTGATAGCTTCAATGGACATTAAAAAATAAGCTGTTTGACTATTTAGAGGGGACTAGTTTGCTAATTATTTCTTCTTCTCCAGGTTTGATCATTCTCCTTGTGACCCAACAGTCACATTACATGGACCCCCACATAGTGCTTTTGCCTGTGTGATATGCTGTGAAAGATTTTCAACCTCTCAGCAGTACAGTGATCATCTTTTATCTAAGGCAAGAGCATAAGGATAAATAACTCTCCTGACAAAATGTAGTAGAGGGTTTAAGACTTAAAATTATGCATTGATTTTTCGTGGGATTTTTTGTTTTGTTTTTTTCTTTAGCCCTCTTTCTCTCTTCTCTCTTTTACTCTTTAAGACTGTTTTCTCTGATTCTGCTGTGTTTCAAACACCTAGTGTAGCCTGACAGTATTCCCTTTAGATGCGACCATTAGGTTGTACTTTTTGGTATGCTTTCAAGAGGACCATAGTTCTGTATTGAACTCTTGTCTATCTATTGGTGTTGTGTTGATAGATGTTCCTTTTTTTTTGCATTTCCAAAACTGTGAAAGGTAAAGGTAGGAAGTCAGGGTGAAATAACTTGACAGCGAAGAGAAGCTGCCAAAAGATGGGGGGTTTTATTTAAGCAGTCTGATGTAGAATTGGATAGTGGATAGCATTTTCAAAATTGGATGTTTTGACAACAAATATTCTCGCCATGTCTTCAGAAGCTGCATTAAATCTGGGAAAGTGTTAGACTTTCTAAAAGTCAGGCTAAATTTTGCTTGTAGTAATAACTTGATAATTAGTCATACCTGACTAATTATCAGTGCAGTTGAAAGACTGCACTGTAGTGTGTCACTGCACTTTCTCCATTGCTACAAAGTTGTGTGCTTCTCATGTGTTCAGGGACATTATCAGGAGTAGCAGCCAAGGTGGGGGAAAGGCAGTGAGTGTCTCCTGCAGATAGTGAGAAGATGGGATTACTTTGATGTGTAAAGCATGGGGAAATAATCCTAATCAAAGCTCTAAGTGTATAATGAAGATTCTTGGAGTGATACAGAAAGAAGCAAGCAAAAATATTAGAAGCAGAACTAAAGGATTTTTGCCCTGTCTGAGGCTGATGTCGAAGGCAAAGCAGGTGGAAGGAGTTGACTTCTACAGAAGACAGACCTTTTGGGCTACTCTGAAGAGCAGCATTTTGGGGAGTTAGAGGTTAGCAAGATTAGAGGAGAGCTGACAAGAGGTAAAACAGCTGTTTTATTGACAGAGGGAGCTTTTTCTGAGAGCCTGGGTAAAGGAAATAGTAAGAATTGCTGGAGCCCATAGTCCCTGGGAAGGTACTTGCTCCCAGTGGTGCAAGAAGGGGATGGAGAAATTGGCGGTGTAGTAAGGGTGGATGAGTAGCTTGGTTTGACAGTGGTACTTTGGCCAGTTCCTTGTGTCTTGCAAGCTGAAATGCAGATGGGTAGGCTGTAGGTAAATACAGATGTGGTAGCTTAAAACCTAAAAGTGAAAATATTACCACAGAAATGAGAGAGGAGTGGGAGGACATGAGAACTGGGCCTGGTTTCTTGACTTAATTTTTTTCCTAAATAGATAATTTTCTCTTCCAGCTAAATGAAAATGATGGGCATAAAAAAGGTATTCCTCCACAGCATATTCAGTGTTTTGCATGCCCAAAGTGCTTCCTCCTTTTCACCAAAAGAGATGAGTGTTGGCAGCATATGTCGCAAAAGAAACACTTCCTCCAGGTTTCTGAACTGAGTGGTACGTTGTTACTAAGTGTACTGCTTTTAATTTTTTCTGATAATTCAGCCTTAAGATAGGAAGTGACTTATACTTTTCTGCTGAGTAAAAAAACTTAAGGTTTTAAAGTTTGTTATTAATGATTTTTATTTTTCTTTTGGGATCTTAAATGTGATGCCTTGAAATTCATATTTTTGTGTAGAAATGATTCTTCTATCACACTTCCTGTAATGAGACGTTGTTGAGTCTCTCATATAAGCTTCTCATCCTCCATGCAACTACTTTCCTGAATAACTTTACATTTAGCATGTTGAAAGAGACTCAGAGCAAAACATAAATTTCTTTTCAATTCCAGTCAGAGTAGCTGTTGAGTTCCTTCCCCTTACTCTGTTTGTAGTGTGCTTGGAGGCTATTTTTCCTGTCAGTGTCCTTGGCATTTCTGATGGCAAATACTTGTTAGAATGGTCTTCTCCATATAATTGCAAATTTAGAGTGCTTAGCTGGAACATTGCTGCTGGTCTGATGGCTTGAACAAACTACATGGCTTCTGAAGGCTGAAATACTGGTTATGTTGTGAGCTGGTAACATCCTAAACCATGCTTAATAAGGAAAGATCTGTCTGATTATGGTGTTACAAAGAGGGTTAATGCCCAACACAGCTGTACTGATTTTATTTTTGACATAAGCAATAGGCATTAAAGCATTTACTTCACTGTTAGCTAAACTACTAAGTGGCCGTATTTTAGACATTGTAACTCTCTGGACAAGCCTACATGGCCAAAAGGATTCTTATAGTTATTTCTCATTTTCATAAGTGTATCTTCACTTCTGCCATCCCATAGAGTGGCTGCAGGAAATGTATAGAAAAGGCAGGCTTTGAAGGAATCCCCTGCAGTTGGAGTCAGTACTGATGCCTTCATGTAGCGAAGTGACAGTCAGCTGCATGGTTATTCTTTCCCTTATGCATTGTCATTCTAATGTACTTTTATTCTCAAATAGGTTATTAATTCTGAATTTGGTGACTGCAGATGCTTTTAAGAAATTCAGGTCATAGGTTTTAAAAAAAGGTTACTGGTGAGCTCTTGCCTTGAAAAGATTAAAAGCACAAGTTAATGTTTTCTTCTTTAGAGATGGAGAGTGCTTACCTCAGAACAAAAAAACTGAGTGGTCCATGTTTTACTTTGCATTAGTTAGGCTTCATGATTAATAATTATCAGCATGGCCTGAGATCTGCCAGTAAAGTTAGCTGAAAGGCATAATACTGATCATCACATCTTACTAAAACAGAAAAATCAAAGAAAATTTGCCTGCTAAGGTGCAGAACATGAGCAATATATAACCCATAAACAATTTTCCATTATCTTTCCAGTAGCATTTTCTTACTCTGCTGGTACTCGGAGTGGAATATGTATGCAGAAATACAGAAAGTCCTGCATCTAAAAATTTAAGAATTAACATTAAGGATGGGAAAGAGAGAAAGACATGGTCAGTCAGGGTATGTGGGAACTTGTTAAATAAATTGCGTGCTCTTTCAGAAAAAAATACTCTATGGCTTAAAACAAAATTTTATCTAGTCAAAGTAGACCGCTGGTAATGGGTGGAGGAGAAGAAGGTATGAACCTTCCTAAGAGAGACATGGACCTGGCATTGTACAAGGAGAAAAAGGGAAGTAAAATCAAGTCACCAAGTATGAAAAAGCAACATGCAAACAGATTCAGGTATAAGATAGTTACAGAAGTTTAAAAAATTTAGGATTTAGTTACAGCTTCCAGTACTACACAATTACTGTTGCTCAGCTGACATTTGTTAACTTGCACTGTAAACCCTGTGACAGACAAGTAGCAATTACTTATGTCATCAGAGAGCTGAAATTCTATTAGGAAACCCTAACGTGTGGTTGCACTTTCTGCCTTTCTGTTTTACAGATGCATTGAAGTCTGGCCATCCACTACCTTTTCCATCCTTCGCAAAGAACCTCTTGATATCTCTGTGCAAAGAGGTCTCCTTCCAAGTGAAGTGTATGTCCTGCTTCAAGATACTGCGCTCACATATGGAATTAACAGCTCATTTCAGGTTTGTGAAAGGCAGTTGTCTTTATAATGTGAACATCCATAGATCAATGAGAGGTATGCAGACATGTTTTCAGTGGTACTAGTGGATTTCAGGGCAGCTAGGACCATCTGAATGTAGACTTCCTGAATAAACAATCAAAAGCCTGCCCCCTTAACTTTACCCCACACTGCAGAAAGATGATCAATGTCAATGATCAATATTTTTGTATTTTCTGTAACAGAACAACAAAAGCTGTTCGCTGGTCCACTGTTTCTAAGTTGGCAGCATTTGATTTTGAAAATGTACAGTCAAAAACATAAGCATCAATCTACATGCTAGCTTTGGAAATTAGCACCTAATTCTCTTCAAATTTCAGATATTAAATATACATTGCATGGTTTTGTTGTCAAGCTTGTAGGTGGGTTAAAGGACACAGAGCACACTGTTTCCATGCAATTACTGCTGTAGCTACTTGATAATATATTGAGTACATCTGAAAGTTTACAAATGTGGTGATATAACCTCTTAATGTTTTTTATCCATTCTAGAACACGTTGTCATAATTCTGGGCCCATGGCACTGTCAAAGAAAAGCATCTCCCAGGTTGCAGAGATATTTAAAATGAAAGGTTACTGTGAGAACTGTGATGAACTGTTTGCTGATAAGAATCAGATGACCCAACACAAACAAACCACTCAACATAACATTAGAGTTTTTACTACACTGGAGGAGTCAATCTTGATGTTCTGCCATGTCAATGGAAAACACAAAAATCAGTCTCATTTAGGCTACATTGTGGAACGGTCAAGACCACTGCTTAAAAGACATTTGAGTCCAGATGAGTCCTCCAGTGAAATGGGGTCCAGTCCTTCAAAACGGAAGAGTAATTTAAAAGATAAAAATGAAGATAAAGTTGCAAACCAAAGTCAAGGTAGTGCTTGCAAAGTAAAAGCATGGTTTTGTGAATGCCTCCAAAAGTTTTTTACAGAAGAGTCAGTAGAAAAGCACATTTTATCAGCAAATAGGATCTGTCACAAGTGTGCTGTGTGTGGAAAGCTGGCTGAAAATTCAAGCATTATCCGTCTGCATATGAGTCGATTCCATGGAGGAGCACACTTGACTAATTTTCTTCTCTGGTGCAGAGCATGCTCTGTAGATCTTAGAGAAGAGAATATTATGGGACACATAACTGAATTTCATGGTGGACATAGTTACTACTATGAGCAAGAAGCTGTAGAAGATGAACCTATGCCATCTGCTTCTGATGCAGTGAGCATTTCTGCAGGTGGAGATAAAGACTGCATTTCTGGCCCTGTGGAACTGTCCCCTGGAAGTGGTCCTGTTGTGGGAAAATGGCAGTGCCGCATTTGTGAGGAGATGTTTGAGTCTGAAGAGAGTGTTCAGCAACATTGCATGTCCTTAGAAAGCCATGCATTTCACAGGTACTCATGTGGCATATGTAGAAATCATTTTCGGAAAGTAGGAACACTACAGCGGCACTTCCAAGAGCATCATAATCAGGAGATGCAGACTAAATATTTCTGTGGCCTTTGTGGTAATCTCTTCTTCAACACAGAGGAAGAATTTCTAACCCATTACAAGGCGCTTCATAGCATGGACTATACATTTGTGCCTGAGCAGATGGAACCATCAATAAAAAAAGATGAGGACTTCCTCCCAGTGGAACAAGGAGACCGCTTAACCTGTGGTTGCCGGACAACTTACGTCTCCAAAATAAACAGGAGGAACGATCATGAGAATTGTCAGAAAGCCATGCTGCAGAAAGGAAACTTATGGTTTCGATGCTGCTTGTGTTCTGCAACAGCACAGAATATTGCTGATATGAACAGTCATCTCAAGAGTCACACGTCAGTCAAATCTAAGGGAGAGATGTATGTTGTTAGATGTGCTGCGTGCAGCAAAAACTTTGACGATCTTCAAAGCGCGCATCAGCACTATCACATGAAACACTGCTTCTTGCAGAAACCTGATCTGTCAAGTCTTGCATCAGAATCAGAGGACAAAGTATTCAACTTTTCAGCAAGTGGGGCGTGTGTGGTCAGAGAACCTCATAGGCAACAATTTAAAGCATCTCCATCCAAAACTCAGGACAGACCACAGTCTTCTCTGCAGGGCCCAATAGAGGGAAAGAAAATTAAAAATGAGGACTTAGAACAGTCTGAACAACTTAGTGAAAGTATGTAGAAAATTTCTTTCAATATTAGAAAAGTATTGCTGTCCTTAACACACTCTGTTTTATTGTCAGTACATGTCACATACCATTTGGTTATATCCAGTCTATAAGTGAGCTCAGAATTTAGTATACTGAATTCTCAGTACTTGTATTTCTAAAACTCAGACTCCATGATTTATTGTTATATGCCATTTGTATGAAGTCTTAGAGAAACAAAAACAAGCAAAAAGGCAGATGTGAGAATCCTGAGACCCAAACATTTGATTTTCAAATTAGTTAGGAGCATAATTTGGTGTTAAAAAGAAGAGGACCATCAAGGATACCCCAATGAAGGATCCAATGCCTAGAAGTGTAAAAGTGATCTATCATACACATTCAAAAGAAACTTGAATTTTTGATATATATAAATATTTATAAACCTTGATAGTGCTTTCTGTGTGGGCAATGCTGTTATATCACCATCATCTCAACTTTCTTAGCCTGCCAAAAAGCAGTTATCAGCTGAAAATTTATATTCCCAGTATGTATTGTTTTCTTGTGTTCAGAAACGGGAAGTGTTTCTTGGTTACTAGTGGTGTCATAATGTTTTGATTAAGAGGTTGAAATTTATTAGAAGTACAGCAGAAAGTGCATATCTAAACATTTTATGTGCTTTTATGCATGCAAGTAATTGAATGTCACAGACTTGCCATAGTCAGGGCTACACAGCTGGATATTAAATGAGTTATTAAAATGTCTTGGTGAAGGATGACAGCTCTCTGTGCTTACCACAAAACTATCCAGGTCTATACCAACATAAAACCAGATTCTACTTTTCTCTCTAATTTGTGAAATATTAATTGCTAATTCAGTTGATTTTAAAAATCTATGCAGTCACCAAATAGAATAATGTTTTCTAGCTTTTCTTTTTGTGACTTTTCCTTACATATGTGACTACAAGAATTTTCAAAAGCAAGTAGGTTGACCAGAAAGTCACAGGAATTTTAAATGTGTCCTTTTTATCCCATTGAAGATGGTGAACTTCCTGATCTTGACTATCTAAGTACTATGACTCACATTGTGTTGATGGATCTGGACAACTGGGGAAGCCTTTTCGCACACCTGCCTGCTAACCTGAACCAAGGGACCTTTATCTGGGGTTTTCAAGGTAAAAAATGTTTGACGTAAATTAAAAGATAAGATGAACAAGTCTACACATGTACTTGAGCAGAGAGAGATTCCTTGAATCTGAGAGAATGAAGAGCAGGAGCAAGTAGGCACTAGGCTTCTAAAGTTGCTTCTTGAACTTTTCAAACTCCATATAAACCTCCACTGCTCTTACTAGTCATTGTAGAATAGTTCCAGAATTGCAGAGCTGTTTAGGAGTCTGTCTTCCCTTATGAACTTACTTAAGCTGTATCATACTTTCATAGTTATCAGAACAGCCATAATACTCAGAGATTATACTAACTCCTAAGTCTTTCTCATAAGGCTGGGACTTTTTATTTTGCTTTGGATTTTTAGTTCCAGAAGTCATGATTTTGCACTCTTAGACTTGTAATTTTGTTCTGTCTCTGGCTTGTTCTGTAGAGAGTGGTCCTGGTCATCCTGTACAACATTTGGTGTATGTCCCATCTTAAAGATGCCAATGATTGATGGAACTCACATTGTCATGGGTTTCATAGAATGATAGAATGGTTTGGGTTGAAAGGGACCTTAAAGATCATACCATTTTGCAAAGTCTGCCAGTAGCATTCCTTTAATAACTTGATGCTTTTGCTTATCTGACTGCTTGTCCACCTCATGCTTTTTCTACAGGTTTGCTCTGTATCTACCTTTACAATTATTTTGTCTGTGTGGTACATTGATTTATTCAGTAAAATATAGATAAGGGATAGTTTCAAAATATTAATGGCCTGAAACACAGGCATCATCTTACCAGATTTGTAGGTCAGGTACGTTTTACACTTGGTAAACACTATTGCACTGCACTTCCTTGCTAAGTGTTTTTTATTATCTCTTCCCATAAAAGATAACCAGGGCTATTCTGAAAGCTGACAGTTTTCATGCTGCTCTGGTATTTCAGAAAAGCCTGCTGATGCCTGGGTCACTTTTTTTTTTCCTCTTAGAAACAGATTTTCCAGTTAGCTGATGAAGGCAGAGCAAGTGTAGCTGTTAATGTAAAGCAGTAGAGATTCAGTCATCTGTGTTCCTGAACCTGTAATCTGGTATCTGCTTGTTAGGAGTTTTGTGCCCAGAGATGTTCCAAACACCAGGTGCCTGATGGCACAGCACAGCCCATATCAGCACCACTCAATTCCTTATTTCCTAATGGGTTTGCTGCATGCAGGCTGCCTCATGGGAATGGCCCTTGAAGCACCTGAACTTAAAAAAACATGCTAAAGAGTTACTTGTGAATAAAATGGGCCATATTCATATTAAAGAAGAATTTACCAGTTTTAGTGTCAAATATATTTGTTTTGAGCCTGGGAACACTAAGGCTCCCAGGCACATCTGGATCTATTGTTGTAGGTACCCTCTCATAATAATGATTTGTACAGTTACTTGAGGCATGCTGTTCTTGTTTGTTTAAGCTGTGAAAATATAGCAACATTTTTTCTGCATTTCCCAATCAACATTTCTGAATTTTAATTGTTATTTTTTATGCTATATATCTGCATTTTATCTATTATTCCTGTGTCTGGTATAGCCATAGCTCTGCTTCATGTTCTTCCATTGTATTGTCTGGACTCTGTATGGTTTCTGTCTTCAGATACTAAGTTGTCTTTCATCCATTTGTGGGCTAACAAACAAAATAAATACAGGTCTGTCATTGTTTTCAGCTCCCTGGACAAAAATGCTTATGTTGTACATTTATGCAGCCAAAAAAAGGGGTGGTGATTACAAGAGTTTCCCAAATGGACTGAGGGCTGAAAGAGCAACTTGCAAATAGCGTTTTTTTCTTATGTACAAGTTCTACTAAATCATTTCTGTATAGACTCTTAATATATCTTTGCGATCATTTTTGATATCATCATCTTAGGCTGAAAAGGCAGGGGCGAAACAGGAGATATCTACTGAGGAGTGCTTTTCTTTGTCAGACTGCAGGTGGAGAGGTTGGCATAAGCCATCTCTGCAGCCTGGTTACTTGAACATTGGTTTTCCATGACCTTACATGACGTACCATCAATGACTGCTTTCATTTTCTGTTCAAAATCCCTTTCTTTCAAAATCTTCCAGCTACTCTTATCATCTAGCAGATAAAGCAACATTTTTTTCCTTCCTCTTGCAGACCCATTATTTGTTGACCATTGGAATGTTAAACAATTTGTAGTCACTCTGATCAAATTGTTCTTCCATTTGTTTGCCTTTTTATGGTGCCATATGTATTTTTATGGTGCAAACTCCTCTGGTGTTTCCTCTCTTCTTGAGAGACTTCCTGCTTCTTTCCTTTCCCTTGCTCCAGTCTGGTACTGGTTTTCTCTGTACTCAGCTCATCTTTATTATCTACCTATTTTCTCAGCCTGTAACTACATGCTTATATTTTAAAAGTTGCTGCACTTTTGTCCCAGTTGTAGCCTCATTTTGCTCGTCCTTGAGTTCATCCATGGGTTTTTCAGAACTCTAACATTTCTCTCAGCTGTTGATCCAGAATTTGGATCCTCTTTTTAATGAGTTCTGACATGGGATGTGTCAGGCAGTTATAGTACATGTTGACTGTGTAACTCCTGTAGTACAGGTTTCTCTAAGAGAAGCATTTCTGTTACTTGTACTGTTTCAGAACTCTTCTGATTCTGCACATTAAACCATAACTGTGCTTCAAACTGGAAAAAAACACATCCTTGTATCTAAAAGCACATGTTATCTAGAATAGAAGATTTTCAGGATTTGAGGAAAAAAAAATGGTACAAAATATGCATCAGGCTAGCTCCTTTTTTTTGCCTTCTGTCTCAAAAACAAGAAAGCTGGGGGGATTTGGGTTATGTGTTTTTCTTAGCTTTCACATTGGTCAGAATAAGTTTTGTCTTTAAAGATAATTTTATATTTGCTTTTTGCCTTCTTGCGTTCTTAATTCATAGAGGCATTTCTGCCCATATTTGTTTGGTTTTTATGTTTGGTTTTTATTATTATTAATATTATTCCTCTTCACTGTATAGGAGGATACAGCAACTGGAAGCCTCCAGTGCATTGCAAAATTTACAATTATCTTAAGAGGATTGGATGTTTCTTTCTTCATCCACGTTGCAGTACCAGAAGAGAAGCAGCAGACTTTGCTCTCTGTGTTCATGTAAGTTAGGGCACACTTGCCTTCTTGTGTCCTGTACCCAGAGAAGGGTGGCAGATAGTATCTGCTATTGATGTTAAGTACTAATTGCAGATGACCTTTTTATATTCTCTCCATGAAACTTCTGTGTCCCCTATAAAGAATGATAAACCTGGGTTGAGTGGAGCCGGTGGTCAAGAAGTGACTCTTAAAAATTAGCCCGAATAGGACGATAGTCTGTTGTGGAGGGGAAGGGAGCTGGTTAGGGACTGAGGAGTAAAAAACCTGCACTTACAGTTTCTCTTTGAGAGTAATACGTAACTCCTTCATCTCTCTTCAAGTAGGCCAAATCTCGAGCCGTCTTTACAATGGAGTTGAATGGGTGCTGTTATCACAGACCCTGTTGAGCTGACAAAGAGCAGTGTCTTTATTCAGTAGACTTTGGGCTTCAGCAGGGCAGGGGATGTGCAGGTGAGGAATGGGAATCTGGGGGTGCCACAGGGAATCATGTTCCTAATGTAGAATCATAGATTTTAAGGTTGGAAAATACCTAGATCATCAAATCTAGCCATCAGCCCAGCACCACCACCATCATTAAGCCATGTCCTCAAGTGCCATTTCCACATGATTTTTGAACAGCTCCAGGGATGGTGACTCCAGTGCTTCTCTGGGCAGCCTGTTCCAATGTTTAACAACCTTTTCAGTGAAAATCTGAACCTCCCCTTGCGCAGCTTGAGACCATATAGTGCTTTATCAGTTAAATAAATTACTACCTATCTAACTGTATAAGCACATTTTTGCAATAGTGGTTTTATGTTTCATCATGCTTTTTATGTTATGCTTAAAATGCTCTGCAGAGAAGACTTATTTTATGTAGAGACAGTTCCAAAATGCTGCTTTTTAGGAATTTGTTCCATACTCTGCCTGTACTTTTCTGGTAGGCATTATCAGTATCTATTGTACATAGAGAAGAAATGAGCATCAGACTTTTGAAACAGTGCCTTTCACAGTGGGGTAATGTGGCTTGGATCATAAAAGCAGGAATAAATTGCTGTAGAAAACTTTGCGATGAAAAGCTAGCTAAATGCGATGAGATAAAAACATGATTTCTGTTCAACACTTGTTGTTTGTTTTGTATAGGCTGGTCGTCTGGATGAGCACCTGCCCAAGCAAATTCCTTTCACTATTCTTTCTGGAGACAAAAGCTTCCTGGAACTGGAAAGCCAATTTAAAATGACCCAACGGTCAGCTCGCATCCTGAATCCTCACCAAATTGAAGGAGATATGATGTGTGCCTTGCTAAACAGCATTTCAGATACCACAAAAGGTAGAAAGTAAACACAATTTTTCCAGTAAACTGATAGTTCTTTCCAATGAAAAATAGAACACTTAACTGGTAACATAAACTGTTGCTTGGTGCTTCTTGTATTGTAATGGCATTTCAATGAATAATATGTCAGAAAATCACTATGCTTGGGCATGTTTTGAAAACAGACTTAATTAAGCATTTTTTTCAATATAAAAAGCTCTGTCATCCCTGTATTTTCTATTCTAGCAGGAGACAAAACTAATGTTTGAGTCTGAAAACTCCTTTCTGGTTCAAGAGAAGCTGTTTAAAGCACTCTTGTGTGAATAGTTATCAGTTTGTACTCAGATCTGTTTGGCTTGATTTATTCTGTGCCTGAAACAAATGTGACCCTGCTAAAGCATAATTATTTCTCAAAATACTTTTGTCTATTTTAACTTGGACCTCCTGGCTACTTGCTATCATTTGATAATTGTCTTCACTGGCACAACTCACACACCCATTTGGAGAAAAAAATCTCAGTGAAGTTTTTAAGTTCTCTAGAGTGCCAGATTCTAATGGGGTGCTAAAATGATCACATTGGTTTTATATAGGAGAATTGAAGAGGATTAAGCCAGCTCATTTTCATGCAAAGGGTACCAGAGCTGAGATGAGTTTTAATACTTAACAGCATTTAAAAGTATTTTGCTTTTTCCTGGAAGACTTGACATTTCTCTGTAGACATTTTTGCTTTTTCTGGCTTCTTGTTACGGTTCTGGAGGGTTGTAAATTCATAGAATATTAGAGAAAGTTGTTTCTGAATTAGCCCTAAACTGTTTTATGAAAATTTACACTGCTAGTCTTGATACAGGTTTATGAGAACTATAACATGGTACTGCTGTTCCACAAAGAAGATTAAAGTGGAGTGCTATCTCTGAGTGATGAATTGTCATTGACTCATAAAAAGGAAAAAAAAATAGGATAACTAAATAGCTTTCTGGAAAAAAATAATTATATGCGGTGAACTGGAATTTATTTAAGTGCTTTTGATACAGAAAATGTGCTTACAGAGTTTTCTGGCCACCCCAGGCATTAGAAGTTTCTTCATTTAACACTTCTTTCAATGTCCTTTACTACATTAATATTTACTATTACAGTAATTGGCCCTACCTGGAGGCTGCAAACCTTTACTCGCTGGCTAGCTGCTCATTGTGCATTCCACTTAAGTTGCACATGTGGTCATTATTTAAAAAAAATCCTTTAACAGGAAACTGATGGAATGGCACATTATTCTTGGGCTGTTAGCATTCCTTAGCAAACTTGTGGAACAGAATTGTCCCCTTTTTTAGTCAGTGTCAGCAAGGGGGGCCCTTTTTAGCCAGAGCTGCCTTTGTGTATCTGTCATATATTAAAACAGAATATTAGAGAATTCACTGTGGGTAATAGGTCTGTATTTGCTGCATTTTGGGATGATGTTGTTACCAAGAGTTTATAAAGTTTTCCTTTAAAAAGATAAAACCACCACATAATACACACATATTGTGTGACTTAGCAGCATCAGCCATCATTTGCAAATCTTAATGTGGCAAAACCAGTATTGGAGGGTTGAGGTGGAAATTCATGCAGTGTATCATAGGCTGGTATAACTTGTTGACCTGTTACAGAAACGCAGCTGAGTATAAGGAAATGCAAACAAGAATTGCTTGCTTTGTGACTTTCTCAAGCCTATGGCTATTATTCTGGAGAGAGAAGTAAGTGAGAAACAGGACAGGGAATCATGTTGAAAAATATCAGACCGTTGTTGGTATTGGATGAGCTGCAAAATTAAAAAGCTCTTTCCCTAAATCACCTTGACAGCTATCATTAACTTCTGAGCACCTGGATTATGTTTGGATGTGGCAATCTGACAGGTGCATCTTGTGAACTGTTTTACCAGCACAACTGCTATGGGAGCTGTTTTACTGTGTTTATTTTAAAGTAATAAAAATAAAATTTTCTGCATATGTTGCAATACAATACCAATTGTATGTTACTATAGGAAACCCTTGGCTGGAGAAGATGCTTGAACTTTCTTTGAGGTATGAAAAGAGTAGGCATTCTTACTTGTTCACTGCTGCTGCTAAGCCTGAGTTCATAAATGAAGAAGGTTTTGTTTTTATGCCGAAGTCATAACATATGACAAGAGCTTCATGTATATTAACTGAGTGGTTTGGGAAGGGCAGAAAAGAGTTTTCAATGTCTTCCTTTATAAAAAAAAAATTGTAGTGTGCAGAAAGCTATTATTCCATTGTCTATGTCTTGATGATATCCTGTGTGTTGAAAGTACACTTATAATAAGTGCTGGACAATGTTGAGGGCAAAGGTGATAGTAAGTTCTGGTCATCATATCCACCTGGACACTGACAGGAATGGCTTAGCTTTTTGGTTGACAAGTTATTTTTGTGTAAGTGGATGTCTTTAGCTTAACTGTATTTCTTCCAATTATGTTCAAATGAGATCCTTCAGTGACTGAGCTCTTATGTAAAACAGACTCATTTAAATAATAAGAACAAATTTTTGAAAGTATTTCTTGTCCTTTCTTTTGAAGAGCCAGTCTGTCTCATGAGCCTGTCAGAGTCAGTGGTATACTGCATGTAGTGTTGTCTGCCAAACAGCCACCATACCTCTTTCACTGACCATAAAGTACATTTCACTGGGCACAAATGGAGTTGCCAACCTACATCTACCTGCTACTCTTGGCTGAAGTGTTTAAGTACTACCAAATGCAGCTTCTGTGAGAGTTTTTACATTTGGAAGAACAGGATTCTGGTTCATTTTAATGAATGCTCCCAAGCTTCCTAGCTCCAACTATGCCCAAAACCTTTAGTTTTACCTACAGCCAAAAAATAATTTAAGAGGACAGAAAAATAAGTCTATAGAAAAAACATTGAGAATAGCTGCTTTACTTCTCCATGATGAAGAATTTTATGGGTAAACATCTGTGTGTAGTCCAGTTTGAGGTCCAGTGTTAATCCTACATCTGCCCTGTCTCTGTTTTTCCAAACCTTTAGTTAACACAGATTGCAAATCACAGCCTCCAGCCTCCACTTTCCTGAATGTGAAGGGCACGAGCATCTGCAGAGTGATGCACCATGAATGAATTATAGTTTCTCTAGTAATATATTCCTTTATTGTAGCAGCCACAGCTTATTGCAGTAGAGAGTGCTAAGAAAGGCACCCTTCAGTTGTAACCTTGTGTTTGCTGCAGCAGGAAGTTACTACTGGGTTTGGTATGTCAGTGGCATCTCTTGTATGTGTATGCCTTAGGGAGAAGGCGATGTACTGAGACCTAAGATAATGAGTCTGAACAATAATTGTAAGCAAGTGGATGAACTGGGAAGACTTCACCACTGAGATTGTACAAAAAAAATTCTTGAGGTTTAGCTTAAATCTGGCTTTGAATTTGAGAGAGGAGTCTAAGGTAAAGGTTAGACGAAAGCCTGAGTGACTATCATTATATTGGCCTCAGTTTCCAAGAAATGCATTTGGAGGAGAGTGGCAGCTTGAGAGCTTTTATTTTTATTTGTCCTAAATTTGAATGAGCAACTGTAGTCAGAGATACATAGAGCAAAGCTTGCTTTGCATGGAGGAAGAGAGGTGGTAACCCTCAGCAGGGAGTAGCTGTACAGATTATATTAATATGAAGAGAGATTAGAGCAGTAAGTATTGGGAAGAGTATGTGAGAAGGATCTTCCAGGGGCATGTGAAAAAAAAGAATGAAAGAAAATATTCTAGAAGCCAAGGAAAGTATTTTAAAAGGCAGCATGGCTACACATACCTTTAAAAGGCATACATGGCTAACAGAGGTAAGGGTGGCGTACTGAGCTAAAGATTTTGGCTAAGAAATTCCTGGGATCCTGACTGAGTTAACAAATGGTATTGATAAGGTAGCTCCAGACAGCAGCTGTAAAAGGAGAAGGGTCAGTGGTTGGAGAGATAGTGTGATGTGAATGCCACTGTACATTGGAATGGGAAAAGGGCATATGAGATTGGGAGTTACTGAAAAGATGAAGAGAAGGAGTGTTTTAGGTGGGAAGTGGAGGAATGTTTTAGGAGGGTAGTGAAGGTGAGACTGTATAGTAGACAAGAGCTGTGTTGTGTGGTAAGGGAACAAGAGGAAGGCTGGGAAGGGTAATTGAGTCTCTGGTGGCAAACCTGATGGAAATGATGAAAGGGTTGGTGGTGACTGGGGAGGTTGCAAAAGAAGATTATTAGGAGGATATAGAAGAAGATGTAGTGGGGGGATATTACCCTGAGCTGTGTGGGCAGCTAATCCAAATTCAAGCTGTGGTGCTTTGGTGGCAGGACAGTGGGTGGCGCTTACATTCTGTGAAAGTTACTGGTCTCTCCCCAGAACACGTTTCTGAGTGACACGAAATGTCAAAAAAATCACTCTGAGTTCTATATTCATCCAGAGTTTGCATTCCTCATTCTTCCAGCAGGAATATATCAGTATGTGAGGACAATAGTGAGCAGTAGGATTTCTTTTGAAAGAACAGGTACAATCAGAAGTTCTTACCTGATGTGTATTTGACAAAATGTACTATAGAATAGTACAAGAGATCTTAAGATCTCTTGCCTCTGAAACTGGGCAGCTGCTTTTCTTCTGACACCAAAGGAGTTGAGAGCTATAGCATGTGCTGAGCATTTTAACAAGAGGGACAGGACATGCCTGGTTTCTCAGATTAAATATTCTTCATTAAAAGATGCCAGCAGTATCAGGAGCATATGCTGAAGGAGTGTGGGCTGGATGAGAAAACTGAGGTGGAGTGAAAACTGGCTGAACAGCCTGACCTGGAACGTGGAGATCAGTGGCATGGGGGTCAGGAGTCAGCTGTGTCCTAGTACAGGGGCTGATCCTTTTTTAACGTCTGTTAATGACCTAGATGATGGGGCAGAGTATACCTACAGCAAGTGTGTTGATGAGACAAAACTAGGAGTGGCAGTTCATACACCACAGGAGGTGGAGGAGCCTTGGCAGAGGAGAAGTGGGCTGACAGTGAATCTCATGAAGTTCAGCAAAGGGTAGTGCAGAGTTCTGCATCTGGGGAGAAACAGCATCAGTATATGCTGACCAGGAATCAACCAGCTGGGAAATGGCTTTGTAGGGAAGAACCTGGTGGTCCTGGTGGACACCAAGTTGACTATGAGCTAATGTGTGCTCTGGTGGCTAAGAGGTCCAGCAGTACCCTGGGCTGCATTAGGAATATTGTTCCCAGGAGGTTGAGGAAGGTGATCCTTTCACTTTATTCAGTAAGGTCTTATCTAATAAGTTTAGAGCATCCCTCTACATTGTTTTTCCAGTAGGACTCAAAAACTATCTAGACAGAATCCTGGGTAGTAGATTATTCTGATTGAGCTAGGAGGGAGAACAATATGACTTCCAGAGGTCACTTCCAATCTCCACCATTCTATGGCATTGCCTAGGCCAGTCTGATGTCCTTTTATGATGGAGCAATTGCAATGCTTGACAAAGGGAGGCTGTGATGTCATCTGCCTGGACTTCTGTAAGGTCTTGACACCATCCTACATCCTTATCTCAAAATTGGAGAGCTGTAGATTTGATGGGTGGACTTAACTGGTGGATAAGGAATTGGCTGGATGGACATAGCCAGAGAGCTGTGGTCAGTGGCTCCATGTCAAAGTGGAGGCTGGTGACAGATGGTGACCCCCAGGGCTCTGTCTTGAGACCAGTGCTCTTCAGTCTTTTTAGTAGTGACACAGATAGTGGAATTGAGGGCACCCTCTGCAAGTTTGTAGATGACATGAAGCTGAGCAGTGCAGTCAGCACACCTGAAGAATGGGATGTCATCCAGGAAGACTTTGACAAACTTGAGGAGTGGGCCCATGAGAACCTCATGGAGTTCAACAAGGCCAAGTGCAAGGTGCTGCACCTGGGTGGGGATAATTCCAGACATGAGTACAGCCAGGGAGAAGAGCTGCATGCGAACAGACCAGTGGGGAAAGACTTTGGGGTCTCATGGATGAAAAGCTGGGCAGGAGCCAACAGTGTGCAGTCACAGCCCAGAAGGCCAACAGCATCCTGGGCTGCATCAAAAGAGGAGTGGCCAGCAGGTCATGGGAGGGGATTCTGCCCCTCTCCTCTGCCCTCATGAGACCCCACAAGGAGTGCCATGTCCAGTTCTGGGGTCCTCAGTACAAGAAGGACATTGATCTGTTTGAATGGGTCCAGAGGAGGCCACAAAGATGATTAGAGAGCTGGAAAGAAAGGCTGAGAGTGTTGTAGTTGTTCAGTTGGAGAAAAGGCTCTGAGGAGACCACATTGTGACCTTCCGGTATTTAAAGGGGCCTTATAATAAAGAAGGACTTTTTACATGGGCAGATAGTGACAAAACAAGGAGAAATGATTTAGTGCTAAAAGATTTGCATTAGATGGCAGGAAGAAATTATTTACTCTGAGGGTAGTGAGGCATTTGACCAGTTGGCCAGAAAAGCTGTGGATGCCCCATCCCTGGAAATGTTTTTAAGTCATGTGTACTAAACCAAGAATTGAGTGAGGGAGTGATTACTTCAACTGTTCCACCTCTAACAGGTATAAAACTTTTTAGAGCGGTCTGACGTGTCTTCCAGGCTGGAAGATTAAAAGCATAGTTAATAAGGGAGAAGCCACTTGCAAAAAGTCTTTCCTTTGCACTTTTTCCTCCCTTTCATTAGTAATTGTAGTGATTGCTTTGGGGGATGAGGGGGTGTGGATTTTTCTTTCCTTTGCTTTGGAAAATGATGTAAAAATTAGAATCTCTTCTGCTCAGAAATAGTGGTAACTCCAAAAAGAATTCACAGTCAGTCTGCCAAGTGAGTGGAGAAATACCATTTTAACTATCTATTTCTGGCATATTTTTGGACTGCTGATCACCGTTTAACACCAGCTGTTGGAATTTTTATTCCTAGAATTGGGAAAGTCAGCAAGGTCTGCTCAAACAGGTTGTGTGTCAGAGGTTTGAAAACAAATTTTGGAAGCATACCTGACAATTTGAATAGCTAAGCTGAGTAATTCAAAATGGCAGAAGTCACACAGTCAGTAAGTTAGATGGCCATATCAGAAAGTTCTTTGCTGGTTAATGTAATCAGTAATACATTGATGTATTAATAAATGTGATGACTTTAAGGGGACTGCTTCTGCTGGTGTGACTGCAGGAGACCTTTTTGACTGCTAATACTGTAAGACCTCCTTACAGAGACCATCTCCCAAAATAGCAATAGCCTGTAGCAGAGCATGAATGCATAATGTGACTCATTGGCTTGGCTTTTAACCTGTACTTTTCTGTGCCTCTGTTTAATGGGGGGAAAACCAACCAACAAAAAACTAAACCACCCAACCAAACAAACCCCACACTACTTCAGGTGCATTAAACACTTCAAAATAAAGTCATCCTTCTGGAGCTGGAAACCAGCCTGTGAAGAGTGTTATTAAGAAAGGGAAAAGTTGTGGAGTTTCGGCTGGGTTGAGTTGTGATAAATTATAAGTCTATCAGCCTTCTGCTTACATGAGACTTGAACAGCAGCATCTGCTGAATTGCACTGCTCAATTGAGTTTTAGTATTCCCTTCTTCAAATGCAGTATTTGGACAATAAAACACAGCTGCAGTCACATGTAGGCAGAGACATGCTAAAGCACTCCTTCCCATAATTAAATCCTTGATACATTTTATAGAAAGTAAGTAATTGATGATAGAAAGTGAGTAATTTTTAATAACTGAATATTAAAAAAAAACACAAATGCAGCAGACACTGTAGCTTCTGCACCTATTAATTCTTGTAACTGCTTTAACATAATAAAAAATTGAAGCAATCTGCCTCTAAATTATAGAGAGAAGGGGAAGGAGGTAGCTGAAAAATAAATGTCTCTTGAGTTGCTGTCTTAAACTACCACTGTAATGTACTTTTATCTTGATTTTTTTAGATCATAACAAGTGCACTCTTTGAATCAGTTGTTACAGTAAGAGAAATGCAAGAGAGTCTGTTAATACCTTTATTAGAAGCAATGTGTAATTTATTTCATTTGTGCATTTAAGGGTCAGATAGTGAAGAGGATGAAGATATGAAAGAAACAGTGAAGCAGAGCTTAGAAGAAACAAAGAAACAGGAAGGTCTGTCAATTTTTTCTTTTCTGTGTTCAATAGCAGTATTAATTATGGAAGATAGAGAAACTAAACTTGCAATCAGTTTTACAGTAAGTGACCTGTTAGGAATACTCTCTAAACTATGCTGGGCAGTCTTGAGTAGTGAAGAATGCTATGATGAGTTATAAAAAAAAAAATTCCTAATCTGAAAAGTATGCCAGCAAACTAAAAATCTATTTCATTGGACACCACAGGGAGCCAATCAGGTAAAGACTTGACTGAGTTCACTTTGTACCAGTTTAATATGACTGTGTTCTCCCAGAGCAGAGCTATTGACTAAATAGTTGAACTCGTGAATAAATAATTCAAGTTTAGATATAATTTCACAATAAAGCGTTCTGTTCTCCAGTAAGAGCTGTAGAGTTATGGTCAAGGTTGAACCAGGATCACATCTGTCCATTCACATCATATCTTACATTATTTGAAATGGTTTTCATCCTTTTGCTGTTGAGTTTTCTGGTGGTGTTCAATGTAGTCATACATTTTTGGTGACAGACCACAGTGTACTTTGAAAATAATTTATTGTTGAAAGACTTGATTCTGCCCTTCCACTAAATGGAAATAAACTAAAAAAAACCACAAAAAAGTTGTACAAGCTCAGTGATAAAACTGACTACTGAATCTTATGTTCCCAGAATTTATTCAGTTGTAAGTTTACTAGCTGTTACTAAACACTGTTGTTAAATGTCCAGCATTCATCTCCAGCACTGAAAGTTTGGTGCATTCAGGCCCCCCTAATACTGAGATAGCAGTGCCCTTTGGTGCATGCAGGAGGTCCCACTTGTGATGCTGCAGTGCAGAGGCATCTGTGAAGTGCAGAGGCACTTAATGAAGCAGCCTGGCTTCAGATGAGTCACAGCTTGGACCTTATTTTGTATTTTTGCACAGGCTTAGTGGCTAAATAGCATATTTTAATGCAAGCAGTTGTCTGCAAATGGTTTTCTGTCTTTTTTTTGGTTTCGTTTGTTTCTGTGAGCATGTAGTATTTTTCTTTAAGCAGCTCTCTTTTATCAGTAGTTCTGGATATTACAGATGCATGAGAGAGCAGTCAGTGATTTGATCTCTGTTCCAAATCTCATCCTCGCATACAACAGCTCAACAATTATTAAAGTTTTAAAATTCTATTTCCTTTTTCATAAGAATAGACAAGATTTTTCTTTTTAATAGGATATGCTTGTGTCCTCCTAAAGCAGAAGATCAATAATTCATGAATGACAGTGTGTCTGAAAGCTGCTTTAATTTTTCCAGCTGTTATTGATATTAATATTTGCTGTATATACAAACCTTGTCAAATTTATGGCATTTGATCACTAGCACCAAACAATTAGTGCCCAAAACAACCTCAATGTAATGCAAAAGCAGAGTTTCTTTTTTGAGTATTATGAAAGCTGTTTGAGATTGTTAAGAAGTCAGATGGGTGCAGTGCAATTTTCCTCCCCACCATGAAAACTGTTACAGCCCTGATCTAGACTATTCTTACTGCTGAGAATTACTTTTTATCTTCTTCTCTGGACTGCCTAGTAAGAGTGACAACACTGGTGCCAAGTCAGAATGTAGGTATGGGCATATCTCTGGGTAAGGAACTGGAATGAAAATACTGAAACCTCTCTGCTTGTCATGCGTCTGTGGTTTTTTGTTTTAATGTGATTTATTTTTTTTTGTGCATACATATGGGATTTTATCTTGCTATTAGTTTGACCAGTAAATACATAGTTGCAATTATGGTCTTAAACTAATCATTGGGCTGCTCCTGATTAATACAGTGAAAAGTTGTAAAGGTGCTTTCCACATTTTATAGTGTTGAAAAGATAGCATAAAACAAGGAGAGAAAATATTATCTGTTTCTTGGGTTTTTTTTGTAGTCTACTGACTTTGTCCACAGAAGTAAGTTCATGCTTTATGTAGTAATATTAAGGTCGTTGTGTTTATGGCTAGTTATCAATAGCAGTTTGACATTACAATCTTTTTTTATTTATGCAGAACTGCAAGATGTAGAACTGCAAGAAGCTATCAAAAGGAGCCTTGAGGAAATGTAAATGAAGATACTTCAGTACACTAACACCATGCCGTCAGAACTGCTCACAAAAATGGAAGCTTGTTCCATCTATTTACAAGGGTTCAGAAATGCCACTTTTGAAATGTCTGTAATTGTTAGATTAATCATCTGATGTCCTCTGTCATACTGGAGTTTATTCATATTCATTGCAATGTGTTATGTTTGATAAAAATAAAATTTTAAGCCTTTTCATATTTGTTTCTAAGAGATGATGACTAAGTCTCTCCAATTTAGCTATTTGAAATTGTTGCCTAATTAGTAGGCTGGTCTTACTAGGTGTTTTGGGGTTCCTGGTTGTTCAGGTTTCTTTTCTTAAATTGGTTCTTGTATTTAATTTTTCTGTCACAAAATGTCATTGTCTTTATTTACTTTTTGATATGGTCTTTGCAACAGATAAAAATAGTAAACTCCAGTTGTCTCAGATTTTCCTGGCTAATCTTGTTATAAAGAGAAGCTTAGATCCCAGGGTTGTTGAACATATGGCCTAACTCTTGCCTGTGGCCAGTTTTACTTCATAGGCCATAATTTTGTCTCTGTCCTGTTTGTTATAAATGTCCGAATCAGAACCACAGGCTGCACAGTTAGTTTACCAGCTTTGTTTTTATAAATGTGTTTGTTTTTTCAATACTGGTAGAGTATTTGGATTTGATGGCTTAAAGTTTGATGACTTCATTGCCTCTCCCTTACCTGAAGCAGAAACTTTTAAAGGGAAGAGAATCTAAATAAAATTCCTAGTTTCTGTTTGGAATACATGTGAGAAGATTTAAACTGTAATATTTCTGTATATTATGGTCTTTGCTCTCTTCTGTTCATGAAGAGGTGGCATTGGATAAATGAATGTAAATGTGCTAATTATTTTTGTACTGTCCTTACTTTAAGTGAAATTATTTGTGTTTAAAATTATCTGTCATCTTTCTCAGTTTTGTTTAAAAATACCTATGCAAACTGTCCAGCTTTACCAGCCTTTTATCCTTCAGTTAATGATTGCTGTCAATCAGTAAGAAATCTCAGTGTAATAAAATGCCAGCCTAATTCTTTATGATTCACTCACCCTGCGAGTTTGCTTCTACCTGCTGTATCCTTAAATATTCATTATGCAAGTAGATACTTTTTGTGGAGAATATGGTGTAGGGAGGGCTGGCTTTTTCTCACTATTCCAAAGAATCAGCATAACTACAGCTGTTTGTCATCATGGTTAGAAAAGCTGGGAGACTGACACTGGTGTATTTCTAATGATTACTCTGATATAATTGCTATCTCCAAGCAAGTAGAATAAAGGAAGACTCTACTGAGCTATCTAATGCTCATTAGCAATCATACAGCTTGAAAAAACTGTTTAAATGCCAGAAAATTGTTTGAGCACTTACAGTGCATTTGTGTGTGACTCCCAAGTGTTACAGGGTGAACACAACCTCTTAGCGGTTTTCCCTTGTGCCTGTTGCTTGTTTTCCTACTGCCAGTCTTGGATTAATTGTACTTCTGATAAAATTCAGGTGTGTGGTTCACACTGCTCCTGAGAGAGCCCGATTTTGAGTTGTCTTTAGCTACATAATTTACTGCTGTATTTAGCTTAAATCAGTTGCAGAATTTTCCCACCTTTTTCCCAAGTGCTTCTGTTACAGAGTGGAATGAAACAGAAAACAATTTTCATCCTCAAAAGCATCTCCATCTAACTTACAGAAGCTTTTGATCCTGAAGTTTCAGATTCCTTTCACATGAAAATATGTTTCTGAGAAAGTCTGAGAAAGTTCTTTGGCTCCACAGTGTTTAAAACCTGGATAGATCTCCAGAGTCTGCTGTGTTAGAATTTGATTATGTGCTTTATTTTTCATAATATTTTATTCTGATAGGCCATGACTTAATTGGTTGCATTAAAAAAAAGTCCTGTGTGCACACATATTCTGTATACTCAAAGCTCCATGTATTAAACACATTGTATTTGCCTTGTCATCTGCTTACCAAAACAAGTGGCAAATCCCCAACCATTGCTGCATTGGCTTTTATAAAACAACTAAACAGAGTTCTAGTTTCTCTATTATTTTTATAACAGTAGTCTTCAGAATTAGCAATGTCTTGAAACTTGGCCTCATTTTGAAGAAAATTTTGGTCTCTTTGATGTTCTCCCTTAACTCAGATTTTTCTTTGTGAAATTTTCTGCCATCACAGGCTTGTCATACTTCTGTTTCCAGAAGAACAGAGAAAATAAGATTCTTAAAACACTGCATGTACAGGCATGTGACTTGTTACTCACCAGCATCTTGTGGCTGAACACCTTCAACTGAAAAAGTTGTCTTGTAAATGTGTTTCAGAATTCAGTGGTTTGGTCTGGTGAGTCTTGTTTAACTGGCTGAAATTTCTGAGCTTTGTCCTTCATGTGCTGAGAAATCTGCCTGTGTTTACAAGCACAACCTGTCTGTTAAAAGGGACTTGCCCAGTACATTTGTACTAGAAATTATTTCTCCTGCCCTTTTCAAGAACGTTTGCTTTTGTGGTGATGTTTGAGTTCATCCTTTGTTAGCCTGAAATAATTCAGTAGTGCTTCTTTGTATTTATCTTTAATGAGGAAAAAAGTCTAATCTCTACATGACTACCCCCAGCTGTTCATACCAGTGCTCTAATTTCTGTGTGGCACATGTGTTAAGTTTTACAGAAATGAAATTGTGACAACTTGAGATTGGTGTAAAGCTCTTAATTGTTTGGTGCTCTGTGTGCCACATTCTTATGAAACAAAATCCCTTTTTGGTCATATTCAGATACAAGGTGAGACACCAAATAAGCCAGTGTAACTGTTACTAAAGTCACTGGAGCACTGAAGTGTTGTATCTGCCTGGTTACTTCTGTTACTTAATAATATTAAAAAGAGAGATTAGCAGACTCTTAAGATACTTACCTTGAATGTATGTTTTGGGTGTTGGGTTAATTTTCTTGGCTCTTCAAGGAATACAGAAATGACCACCACTGCTCCTGTAGTGGTCATGGAATGCAAACCTTTATGAAATCTTTACCAAATATAGTGAAGTTTATAGAGGTATGAAGTTGCGCCATCATCTTTCTTAAAAGGAAAGTGTTCTATCATCTGCTTGCAGTGTCCTGGCTATGTTTACAGAGACTGCTGTAAATTGGAAAGAGGTGAGGAGGATGAATGATTAATTGTTTCAAAATTAATTCTGAAAAATTGACTTACATTAGCACAAATATACTTTCTGGCAATTCTTCCCAGCTAAGCAGCTTTAGAAAAGTCTGCATCTGCATTTTTCTTTGGTACTTCTAAACCCCTTGAAGTTTCCTGTAGAAATTCTTAGTTCAAGGGGTTTGGTGCTCAGTAGTAACAATCTGGGTCAAATAATATGGCCTGAGATAATTCTAAAAGTGGATGTAAACAAGTCAGAAAATTTATGGCAGATGGCAAGAACATGCCAAGTGTGTACTTGAACAGCAAAGCTCTGCATGCATAGAAATTTAATGTAAAGTTCCTGTTGTAAATCTGCAAATTGGCTTTCACTGGCTGCAACATCCTAATTTCTGGTGGCCCTTCCCTTTGCTTTTCAGCTCAGAGCTCCACTGTCAATAGACTGAGCATCTGCAGCTGTACAGAATGCACTGCCTCATTTAATCGTCGACTGCTCAAGTGAGAATGAATTGCTGCATGCCCCAAAATGGTCATAGCAGCTCTCAGATTGCCCCTGAGACAGAGGACTTAATTCAGACTTCTAACCAGCCTGGGACCTCAGGGCTTGCCTACACAGTAAAAACTGCAGCATGTAGAGGCAAACCCAGGCTAGTTTTAATAGCATTGGTAAGAGCAGCAGTAGAGACACAGCAGCACAGGTTCAGCAGGTGTGAAGTGAGGGGGCAGCCTACTGTGATAGCAGATGTGTTTTGATGGAAAACATAGCCTGAAAAGTCAGGTTGGCCCATCTTTATTGCTATTGTTGCAGTGCCGGAGAGGCTGCAGGCTGGTTTTGGTTGGCTGGCCTGAGCCATGGATGCATCCTTCAGCCATGTCTGGGAACTGCTGCTTCCAGCAGAATACCTGCTCACAAGGAAGGTTCTTAACCACCAAATTGTTTGGGTTGGAAGAAACCTTAAAATCATCTAGTTCCAGCCTGCTGTGGAGAGGGACACCTCCCAGTAGACCAGTTTGGTCAGAGCCTCTTTCATCCTGGCCTTGAACACTTTCAGGAATGAAGCATCCACAGCTTCTCTGGACAACCTGTTCCCGTGCCTCGCCACCCTCACAGAAGAGAATTTCATCCTAGTATCTAACGTAAACTTCCCCTCTTTCAGCTTGAAAATACTAAATTCCTGTAGATGAAGACAGGAAAATAATCCTGCATGGCATTTCTTGGGTGTGGACTTTCTCTTTGATCCTCTTCCATGACAGCTCATGTGTAAGTATTAGGGTATGTGACAAGGCATATACCAGGATTTGAAATAAGGCAAAGCTGGAACTAAGGTGCTGTTTAGTAGTGTTACAGTTTGCAGTGCTTTTGGTGTAGGTCATCTCCCTCGCTCTGGGACTTTTACATCAGATGTCTGAGACCTGGAAAAGTTGCTCTTTCTGCTGTCTCAAGGGACTTTGTGCATGTGAATGAGACTTCTGTTCATTGCTCTATTTTGTAATCAGCACCCATTCTTTACAATGCTGTAGTTTAAACAAGAGACAGCCAATGTTTTCACTGTTGTGATGGGAATGCAGGAACAATGGGATACCCACTCTCTTCTTATGTTTTTGCTGGTGCCCATAGTGAGAGCAGGTCTGTGCAGTCCTTCACATGACCACAGATGTGCAGACATGGGAGGAGACAGGGATGTAGCATGGCTTCACCAGCAGCCCTGAACATGCTTCACCAGTGATGGCAAGGAGGAGAATTAAATCCTACCTTTTGTCCTTAAAATGCCTCCAACTCAGCTGTGAATCACATTCCTTCCTGCAGGGATGCACTCCAAACTTTCTAGACCAACCAGTTATTATTTTGGAAAATTGATGCCAATTGTCCCTTTACATACCTCAGCAAAAATAGAGGGGGTGGGGGCAACTTACTCTAGAGAGCAGGAAAAGCAGTTTTCAAGGTCCTTCCAAGCCTCTGAAAGGGAAAATATCCCAGTTTTTACAGGCAGTAATTTCAAGACTTGTCCTGGAAGACTATTTTTACTTTTAAATTTGCATTTTGTTTCCAAAGTTTTGCTATTCCTCCTTCTTGTGTAATGTCCTTTTGTTGTTAAAGAGGGTAAGTAACGTGTGATACATTTGGACACTTAGAGCTGTTCTGCGCCTCTGATTCAGCTGTTGTGACTTCTACCTGTGTGGAATTAAACCCCTACTTACGTGTGGAGGAAAAAAGTGTTCAGAGCTGCTCAGCTACTTTGATTTCTGCTTTTTAAACCCAATCTAATTGAAGCTTAATAAATTGGCATGGGATGAATAGAAGGATCCCAGAAAATAAATGGTAGCAAACTATGTGTCATGGCTACAAATGGGTTCTGTTTGGGGTGGGAAATGGTTTTTAATTATCTTCTATAGAGACTGTAGAGAGATGGATGGAACAATTGTTCAAATGAAGCTATTTCCATGAGCTCACAGGCAACGAGCCTTGCTTATCCAACCATGTAAAACAAAGAAAACTCAGGCAATTAATTTAACGAGAGTACTCAGGACATGATATCATTCTGAATGGACGAGCCTGAGAAAACAGCTATTTTGAATCACAGCAGGATAAGCATACAAAACAGTGTCCCTGTGCAACAAAATCCCCCTTAGCTGGGTGCCAAGAATTGGTCTGTTAGAGCCATGGGGTATTTGCCCAAACCTCGTCTTTTGGGATAAGCAAATTCCTTTTTAAATACTCACAGTAGTGGTAACTAAAACTTATGTGTGACTTGAATTGCTGGTGCTTGTGAGAAAGAAGGAACCGTTTCATACAGGCAAATTAAATACGTTCCTGGGACAAGTCATTACTAGATGTAGATCAACTACCTTGGCTACCATTAAATAGATATATCTTTTCTCTCTGGCATAGAAAGAGAATACAAACCACTTTTATTTCCAGTAAGCTTTTTTTTGTAGAATCTTACAATAACAGCTGGTGAAACAGCTGCTTTTCTGCAAGTAGTAGGGGGCTCTTGCAGTTGGCAGGAGAAAGATGCACTATAAGTAGCAGTATAGCAGTATCCAAAATACCTTTTTTTTTTTGTTGTTGTTGTTTTTTTTTTAGGAATTTTGTTTAGGTTCTGCTTGCACTAAGGGCTGTCTCTGGTTTGACTTCTCTCTCATGTCAAGCTTCTGGATTTTTAAAGCCCTTTATTTTTCCTCCTCCCTTTTTTTGCACTTTCCACTGTTTTCAGTTTTGTAGTTTACTGTTTAATTAGCCTTAAATAAAAATAACCTTTGGGTAGTTGTGGGTTTCTTGTTTTCTTTAATGAAAGAGCAAACCAATGAACCAGCCACACAGACCAGTTCTGGAACACAAAGCCTCATACCAATAGCTCCCATCTCCCCCACAAAGCTAATACAGATATCGAAAGCATCACTTTTCCTCCCTTCCCGGCTGGTCCAGGTTTTGTTGCTTTTGCCACAAAGGGGAGTGGAGACTGGAGCAGGACAGCCCAGGCCTGTGCCCCAGGCGGTGCCAGCGAGGAGCAGGGCAGCAGAGGCTGCCGTGTGTCGGCCAGGGGCCGGAGCGCTGCGCGGCAGGTGCGGTGGCACTGCGGTGACACTGCGGTGACACTGCGGTGACCCTGCGGTGACACTGCGGTGACACTGCGGTGATACTGCGGTGACCCTGCGGTGACCCTGCGGTGACACTGCGGTGACCCTGCGGTGACCGTGCGGTGACACTGCGGTGACCCTGCGGTGACACTGCGGTAACCCTGCAGTGACACTGCGGTGACCCTGCGGTGCCGGGCACTGCCGGGCACTGCCGGGCACGCTCGGCTGCGCGGCCTCAGCCCCGGGCGCGGCCCCGCCGGCCCCGTGGCTGTGTGCGAGGGGGCAGAGGCGGGAGACAGGGAGCTCCTGGGGCAGCGAACCCAGCCAGGGGGCTGGAGAATCTCTCGTGCCAGGAATGCCCGAGGGAGCTGGGTCTGTTCAGCCTCGAGAAGGGGTGACTGAGAGGGGCCCTCATCAATGTGACTGCGTACCCAAAGGACGGGTGTCAAGAAGACGGAGCAGCCTCTTCTCCGTGGTGCCAAGTGATAGGACAAGAGACGTGGGCAGAAACTGATGCACGGGAAGGGAAGTTCCACCTGAATAGGAACAACTTGTTTACTGTCGAGGCGATCGAGCAGCACAGATTGCCCAGAGAGGTTGTGGAGTGTCCCTCGCTCGAGAGGGGGCAGGGGCCGGCCCGGCTGACCCAGCGCGGTCCCTCCAGCCCGGCCCGCCCGGCGGTTCCGCTGCCCCGGGGCGGGGCGGGGCGGGGCGGCCCCGCCGCGCTGCGTGAGGCGCTGCCCGCGGGCCCGGCGCGGGGGCGGGGTGGCCGCGGGGCCGGCGGCGGGGCGGCTCCTTCTTTGGCCATGAGCGAGGTGCCGGCATTCGGCCGCCGCCGCCGCCTGCGGGACGCGGGGAGGGAGCGGCCGCGGCGAGGCTCCGCCGGCGGCAGCGGCGGGTGGGATGGCCCAGGCCCGGATCAGCGCCAAGGCCAGCGAGGGGGCGCCGCAGCAGCCGCAGCCGCAGCAGCAGTCGGGCGGGCAGCTCCGGGGCCGCTTCTACCGCTCCACCTCCATGGCCGACCGCTCCAGCCGCCTGCTCGAGAACCTGGACCAGCTGGAGCTCAGGTGGGGCCCGGCCGGGCGCTGGGGGGCCGGGAGCCGCTGGCCCTCCCCCGGCTGGGGGGCGGTGCGAGGCTTCTGGAGGGGACCCGGGGGAAAAGGCT